GAGTGAGTATGGTTTTACGCCGCTTTTAGCAATATTCCAGCAATATCACGGCGATGGACACCAGAAATGGGCTTCACACATTGTACACATGTCGGGAATCAAACCCGGGTCTTCGGCGTGACGAGTGAACGCTTTAACCACTAGGCTCCCCGACCGCCCAGACGTTGATAGAGAGATTGTATTTCTTCACAATATGATAACACAACTGATCCTGTGAATAACATACACTTGATGAAAATGTTATGACATCATAACCATAAATATAACCACAATCCTGCTGAATAATGCGAAACAGCCACTTATTGTGATCTTATGCCCCCAACTTGATAACGGTGTAATAATCTACATCGATACGTAGCTATGTGCAATAAACAAGAACTTGTTATCCATAAAGTTGTACCTTTTGTTACGTATTGAAATGTTTTTTGACACTTTTATTTATAAGGAATGTTCTTCTTGCTATCCGAAACTTTATTGTCATATTTTTAATTTATTCTCTAAGGCAGAAAATATATGATTGTACACTGCTTGTTATACTTAGGTGATCTACAACAATATATGTAACAATCATATGTGGGATTGTGCAAATATCAAGATGAGCTACAACATTTGTCGCTACTAAAATTTCACAATGTCAACTAGTACATAAATAACTGCGTCCTGTTATTTAAATATCATATCTTTATAAATGTAACCAAAGTAGTAACGCGGAAGGTATTTGTGGAATCTTTGGTAAATACTTTCGAGACTTGTCAATCCCAACCATGGAAAGTCATTTTGACTGCTCTTTTGCTGATGAAGTAATATGCTCAGTCAAAAATATTGAAAACAACGAAACATCTGATGCTGATACCGATGTAACTGCTAACCATCCATTGAAGACACCATTCACCATTGCAGAGGTAGTAAGTACAGTTAAAGGACTGAAAAACAATAAATCTCCGGGACCTGATGGGCTCACAAACGAACATATTAAGTATGCGGGAAGATCTTTATTAAAGCATATTATGGTATTATTCAATGCTATTATTAAACATGAATATATACCCAAAATGTATCATATTGGCGAAATCTTACCAGTACATAAGGGACGAGGAAAAAGTAAAAGTGATCCATCTAACTACAGGGGCATAACACTAACTTCAGTCCTAAGTAAGCTTTTCGAAAGAATGCTTCTCAACAGAATCGAAAAATGGATAAGCGACGATGTAACCTTCCCTCACCCACTACAGTTCGGATTTAGAAAAAATGCTGGTGCTGAAACGGCGGCTCTCACTCTTCTAGAAAGTATTTCATACTTTAACGAAAGAAACTCACCAGTTTATTGTGCCTTCCTCGATAACGAGAAAGCCTTCGATCGTGTTTGGCTTGACGGTCTCTTCTACAAATTACATAAATTTGGTATCAATGGTAAATTATGGAGAATTCTACGTTTGTCTTACAACTCTATGTACTCATGTGTTAGCTTTGCTGGCTTCAAATCTGATGTTTTCCCTGTTAAACAGGGTGTAGGTCAGGGTCGTGTCATATCAGCATGGCTCTTTACTCTTTATATAAACGATTTGCTTCATGAACTAAGCAATTCCGGTTGTGGACTATGCCTCCCATGGGGACGATGCCCAGGAATACTGTTAGCAGACGACACGACCTTGATCAGCTGTAACACAGCAGGTCTTCAAATGCTCCTAAACGTTGCAGAAAATTATGGTAACAAGTGGCAGTTAAAATACAATGTGTTCAAAAGTGCTGTCCTAACTTTTGGATGTAGTAAAAAAATAGTGTCGCCTGAACATCTTTACATTGGTAAGATAAAATTACCTGTTCAAAAGGCAATTGTCTATGCGGGAGTGTACATAAGTACTGCTAAAACTTCGGTAGAAAGAACGAGGTTAGCATGTGAAAAACTGAGAAAACTGATAAATGTAAACCATGATTCTGGCCTGTACTTTGGTGGACTTAATCCTATAGCCGCCGTGCGCATCTGGCAACGAGTGGTATTACCCTGTGGCTTATATGGATGTAATGTGTGGGGAAAACTATCCTTAAAGGAATATGAAATGCTAGAAATCACTCAACGCTATTTCTGTAAGAAAATCCTGGGTTTTAATAAGCGTATGCCTAAAGAAATAGAGAGGGACACAATTGGTGTTATATCAGTACAAGGATACATTGATCAACAAAAGCTTTTGCTCCTTGGTAAGCTATGTAATTCAAACCTAATGTATATTTTCAAACAAATGTTCCTAGCCCGACTTGGACAGTTTAGATATAAAACAACACTAGTTAATAAGAACAAGTGGGACACGAAATCACCCATCTTTAGCATGCTACATCTTGTCTCCAAATATAATTATCTGACGAGGTTAATGATTATATAATGTGTTCAAATTTCATCAAGAAACGATTATGGTCAAAACTGGTGAAAGAAAAGATTCACCTACACGAAAAACAATTACTAAACAATGCGTTTCTGAGCAGATTATCTCTGTCAAGATATCTAACAATACGATCTGGACGAGAACATAGATTATGGAAACTTGCTCTCGATAGACCAGAATATTTTACTTCCTTAGCTAGACTAGTTCGCTTAGGTTCAATGCCAATAGAATCAAAGGAATGTATTTGTGGAACAGTTGCGAATGATATAGTGAAACACGTTTTCATGTCATGTCAAAAGAATTTAGAAGAAAGAAATATCATATTTGATAAAATCATTGATTTGCTTGATGTTAAAATATTTGTGAGAATCTGGGCAGACGATGACACCTTTCTGACTTTTTTGCTTGGCGGGTTAACCGAACAACTTGAAGTAGAATTAGACTACAATGTATGGGCAGAGAGCATGATAAATATTGGTGGTGCAGTAAAAAAGTGGGATGAAGTCATCCGAAGCTGCTTATACTAAACAATGTATGTATTGTAAACAAGTGTACATTTGTAAATAACACATGCTAATTGTCCATCTAATAACACAAATAATCAATACGATACATATGTGTAATATTTTTTATGAACTACTTCTGACATATATGTAATATATATATGTATGTGTGTGTTCACGCATATACTATAGATGTTGTTCTTTCACTGTATACCTTGTACTCTTCATGAAATGGAGGAAATAAAGAAGATCTATCTATCTATCTATCATTGTACACATGTCGGGAATCAAACCCGGGTCTTCGGCGTGACGAGTGAACGCTTTAACCACTAGGCTCCCCGACCGCCCAGACGTTGATAGAGAGATTGTATTTCTTCACAATATGATAACACAACTGATCCTGTGAATAACATACACTTGATGAAAATGTTATGACATCATAACCATAAATATAACCACAATCCTGCTGAATAATGCGAAACAGCCACTTATTGTGATCTTATGCCCCCAACTTGATAACGGTGTAATAATCTACATCGATACGTAGCTATGTGCAATAAACAAGAACTTGTTATCCATAAAGTTGTACCTTTTGTTACGTATTGAAATGTTTTTTGACACTTTTATTTATAAGGAATGTTCTTCTTGCTATCCGAAACTTTATTGTCATATTTTTAATTTATTCTCTAAGGCAGAAAATATATGATTGTACACTGCTTGTTATACTTAGGTGATCTACAACAATATATGTAACAATCATATGTGGGATTGTGCAAATATCAAGATGAGCTACAACATTTGTCGCTACTAAAATTTCACAATGTCAACTAGTACATAAATAACTGCGTCCTGTTATTTAAATATCATTTGTATCTGAGGTCTGACACGCTGTAGTCGAGAAAGTCGAGAAAGATGTCGATGTATCTCTGTCTGTTGCTGATGTGCAGAACACACCGTTCACCCCAGCACCGTCATTGGTTCACAGACTAGCAAACGGCAATCATACTTTACGAATGACCTTCACAGTGACCTTGACCTTATATGTAGATAACTCCTAGCCTTTACATGTATTAAGCCTCATTAACCTGCAGTAAATCCTTTTCGAGTTTGGTGGTAAACAATCACTTTTAAAGGCTGTGACCTTGAAGATGATCTTGGCCCTGACATGATATGTCATTTTGTCAAAACAATTTCCAGGGGCTTTAAAGAAGTTATGCATGGTATGACATCCCTAATATTGTTTTGTGTTGAAACCTGACATAATCATATGTCATATTACATTTGACAACAAAATGGTGTGTTTTTTCAAACCTATAAATATATATATACACACACACACAAGTATGATCCAATTGCGGAAGAGAGTGCTCAATACAAAGTAGAGCATAAATACAGATTTGAATACACTTTCCTTATATCATTTTGAAACTCTGAGTTTCAAAATCATTCAGAATTGAGAAATATGAAAAAGAGACAGAACTCTCCAAACACATCTGGAAGTTGAAAAGAAACAAAACCAATTACAAAATGAAATGGGACATAATCAAGAAATCAAACACCAACAAAAGAGACCTATGCATGGAAGAGAAGCTCGAGATTCTCATGCTAACAGCTAACAAGCTAAACAAAAGAAGCGAGCTCATTTCCACCTGTCGCCATGGTAAACCCCCAAGCCGAGCAAAAAAGAAAGGGTCAAACTAAAAACCATGTTTCATTATGCCTGATGATCGTACGCAATACCATGGGTGCGTGAAACTCAGAGTTGCAAAATGATATAAGGAAAGTGTATTCAAATACATATATATATTTGCAGTATTCTATATTATGTGACGTCTGACCCATAATAGACTGACTTTTTTCAACATATTCAATTATTATTCAAACCAGCATGATTTCAATGTCCAGGCAGCCTATTCACGAAGGTCTCCAAGCTTTAAGATTTTATAGCTGGCTTAGCGAAAACGACCTTAGCTCATTCCATTCTCGAAGCGCAAAGTTATCTTAAGTTTATGACACCAAACATATGACAGGGTAAGATGGTGGACAAGAGGTGGCATGCTGAGTGATTAAGAAAGATGTCTGGTTCATAACGCAACTAAACAAAAACAGTAACATGTAATTAAGTTATTAATGGGGAAAGTACTTTTTTATATACGAAAGCTAAAGTTAGACATAAGCTGTTCTGTTCTGTTTTGGATAAAAGCCTTCACATGGAAAACATGACAATGTGTTAAAGTAGCATGGGTCAGTCTGTTCAGCCACTATCCGGTCCAGGTGGGTTGTTGAACGTTTGTTGCTCTGCCTCTATATCACAGATTGGCATAGACGTTGGAAGCACGGTTATATTCCTTCACAATGTCGTAACACAACTTGAACTGATCCTGCAAATAAAACATGCCTAGTTAGTCACACAAAGATAAACTGATACTGGTAAAATCACATCAGAAACAATGAAAGCTGTTACGGACACATATCCGTGCACATGTGTGTGTAAACCTACATGCCCCAGTTCGTTATTACAACGAAACTGTGGCTCATAAACTATCAAGGTGTGTCTCGATGGAGAAGTCTAAACAATGCCCTGGTAGCAAAGGCGCGGTTTATGTGTGAAGTCACTCTTTCAGTCCAGGTTTGCGAAACGGTTTGCTGATTTGTGATATGTAATTATGTATATTTATGTGATGTATTGCTCACCACTTCACACACGTCCAGGTTGAGCCCTATAGTCCATGAATGTATTGATGGCATTTATGGACTTATTCAGTCGTCAAGAAGACTAAATATTCCCACTGAAGGCCACATAAACTGATCATTCAAGGAATAATGCAATAGTAAAGGTATTTACTATTTACCGAAACACGTCACAGGGTACTGCGTTTTCATAATATCATCTAATGTTGAACAAACTTTCTGATTTGGTTCTTATCATCCACGACAAAGGAAAGTTTAAAGATTAAAATTACTCTACGTGCACAATTCACATATTTTACGAATGCATGTCAGAAGTGACGTATCTACTCACAAGGGTGTGTATGAACTGGGGTCTGACGCGCTGTAGTTCTCGAATGGTGAGGAAGATGTCCACTGTTCTGTCTAATCTCAGTCTGGTGATGATGTTCAGGACACTACAGAACACACCACTCGCTCCGGCACCGTCACTGGATTGAGAACCATCATGCAATAAATCTGGCTGGACACTGTACTGGGTAATGTTGATGTATATCAAACGTGATGAACATGCTGTCGCCCTAAAGCCTATCCATATTTTGTAAAGTTATGAAGCAACAATACCTACATTATTCTCTCAAAGATGATATTGTTTATATTCAAGTTATTCCGTTCTCGCTCGATGTTTACTGTCAGTATGCACAACCTTAGTAAGCACACATAAATGCTATATGTCACACATAGCTTGTACGTATCACAATTTTGATCATTAATCGTATTAAACAATCCAGATTTCTGATTGGTCAGTCTTTACTGTTTTAAAAACCCTGCCGCCAGCACGAATATCTTGACATAATAACGTTTGGTGATCCTTGTTTTAACTTCGAGCTACCTTACTGAATCTTACTCAATGGCCCACTGATTGCTAACCGTATATGTCTTAATCCACATATAAGATACATACTGGCAGTGCACCAGAACCTTGTGGTCAGCAGAGCTGATGATCCTGTCCACTCTGTTGACCAGCCCCAGAAGGGTAGCAGTGTCGGTCAGCATGTCCAGTGATGGGAGGCAGAACAAACTGACTGATTTCTCGCTGTTCTGTTTCATGGAACAAACTCAGACAATTCATGTGCACTTGGCAACTTCGGCATTACACGAATATATGGAAAATAACTATAACCAATCATCAATCTGATCTCAGTTCAATAGTTGCTTAATGTATTGTGAAAGAAGCGATAGTTTCCTTCAAATAATCATCATTCGAAATATATTCTCCAAAAAAGCAGGGGATATTTGTAAATAACGGATGAATATAGAAATACAAAGAGGTATCGAGTTATGGTATTGAAAGGATAGAGTGAGTGAATATGGTTTTACGCCGCTTTTAGCAATATTCCAGCAATATCACGGCGGGGGACACCAGAAATGGGCTTCACACATTGTACCCATGTCGGGAATCGAACCAGGGTCTTCGGCGTGACGAGCGAACGCTTTAACCACTAGGCTACCCGACCGCCCCTTGAAAGGATAGAAAAAAGGAAGGACTAGGTGTAACATGTCAATCAACAGAACATGATGGCGGTGTATTGTGAGCGACCAAACCACTCCTCTTGCAGCTAAAAGCCCCGTTCACCCAAGGCTGTGGGTGTATACGTCTCCTGATCATGTCCAGACGTGCTCAGTTGGGAAAAGGTCAGGACTCTTGATCATGGCTGACCATTGCACTCTGGTGATGTTTTGCTGCTGGAAGTAGTCCGTTGCGATACGTGCACGGTGGGCACGATCGTTGTCGACTTAAAAGACAAAACCTGGACCAGCATCCCGCCCCTTATCATTACCGACCCACCCCTAAATCTGTCATGTTGCCTTTTTAGCAGTTCACATGACTTCCATTAGGACGCCACTATGCATGTCTACGCCTAACCAGAATATCCAGAGTGAATCTGAAAACATTACTCGAGATCACTCTCGGTTATTCCCAAAGTTTCTATGCTTTAACCACCACTGGCGTTTGCAAGTATGTGTTTGTTAACGGTGGTACAACACGTGGTTGCCGAGCATGAAGACCATTTCTAATTGTCTGGTCAGTTATTTCGACCCTGGTCGCCTGGCGCAAGTGAACAACGATTTCATAAGCTGTTTTGGTTCTGTTTCACAAGCCTGGCTTCTGATTACTCGACTTGAGTTGTTGACATTAGGAGATCTGTGCAGGGTCAATCATGATCATTTTGTCTCTGCAGAAATCTGTTCCAAAGTCTGTAAATCACAGACACATTGAACATATCGGCCATCTCTCGCTGAGTTTCACCATTTGGAAGCATTCAAAAAGCCCTTTGGCGTTCATCGCGTTGTAGACGAAGTATTCACAATCTGATCATAAATACTGCATTAAAGCAAGATTAGAGAGCTTGCGTATTACTGTGGATAATGAAAATTAACCTTACTAATGGGCCCGAGCGATTTACCGACCGAGCAAAGAAGTATCAAAATAAGAATGACCCCCCACCCACGTGCACAAGGGAATTGCATGTTCCACGTGCAATGTTTCGGGCGTTTAGGGGCGTTAGGTTTTCGTTTCGCAAAGCTAATCTTCCTTCTGACGAACTATCATAACATTTATATTTCATGATCACCTACTATTTTGGAGGGTATATATTACTTTATATTCTGTGTTAGATGTTCCAACTAAAATAAGATGTACACGTATCTGATACAATATAACTCATACTCAAAAATAACATCCTACATTTGGGATATCAGTTCATGTCAGTGCAACATTTGATAAATATTAACAGACCTCCTTGTCATGTGCAAGCGTTAACTTCTTCTCTATGTATATTTCTCTGTTTGAATTCGCTTCCACTTGCGCAATAGTGAACGGCTCTGTTTTCAGCGCTTTGTTTTCTTCAGGGTACATTCCAATGGTTTCCTAAACAGTTAATCTAGGATAAGGACATAGGTCTTTTCAAACTGTAAAATACATGTATGTGCAAACCTCAAGAAGCCTGTTTAAAAATCGCATCTGAGGTGACAGTGAAGGTTCGTTGACATAATGGGGTTTTAATCTGATAATACTTACATATGCATTTAATTTGCCGAATCGTCAAATAAATGAATCAGAATTGTATAATTGGAGCCGTACTTGTTCGATATGGATGCAAACGAGCGTAATTATCTCTCTATCATATGATGCCAGTGGTTAAAAAAAGCATAGGATGTATTTCCTCTCACTGAAGTAATGAATACAATGCCTGAGTGTACCTCCTAGGAGATTACAAAATACTAAATGATTGCAGTCATTGTTTAAATTGCTTAAAGAAGCACCGACATAATTATCTTACAACGTCTGTTTGATCTGACTGGGAACGTAAGAAAATAGTTTATCGAGCACATAGGCATATCATTGATGTACAAGGTCTATTTCGGGTGGCATCAATTGCATCAATAATACTGTCAATGTTAGGATAAAATGAGGTTTCGCTAATAACATCTACCTGTGCTTCATCCAGACAGACAATGGTGAAGCAGTCATGGTCATACACAAGTCTCCAGAAGTCCACCACAGTGTCTGGCATGGGAGTCTGGGTGACGATCACGCTTGATAGATGTAGGGTAGACTGAAACAAAAATAGCAGTATCAATAATATAATATAATGACAATGACAATGTCCTCGGTCTATCAGATTATTTTGAAGTAAGCTAAATTATTGCTTTTTTCGGATGTTGTACCTGGTTTGATTCGTTAATTTAAATTTTAGTTACATGACAACCTTTTCCCATATATTGGGGAAGACGATATGTATGACGAGATTTTATATACAAACAAGACATTAGCAGATTTGGGATATCGTCATTATAACTGTATCTTTTGTTTGGCTTAAACGTAATAACCGACTCACTGGTAAAAATACTCCATTGATGTAGTCATTTCGTGTCTGGACAGGTGTACATAGATACGGCCTTGATTTATTTCCTTTAACAAATAATGATTAACATTTATTATCAACTAAAGTAACAACTGTGGCCTGTGATTTTAAATTAGGATTTTGCATTTAACAAAACAAATCTATCGTTCAATCTGAAGAGTGATAATACTATTAGTTAAACATCATGCAATGCACATTTATAATGTGTTTCGCCCAAGTTAATACATTCTGCAGTTTGAAGTATGCCATGTCAGCACATTTCTTTTACGACTGTGTTCATCTTACATGTTATATATTACATAAGATTAAAGTGAGGCTATTTCTTCGACTTTGAACAAACTGCTTGTACCAGGAAGGATATCTAAACTCCTGTTTTTGTCAGAGTTTTCTGGAAGAAGCGCATGTGACGTTGTCTCTTCTGTAAGGTTTGATGATAGTCCTCTGAGTAGCTGAAATAGAAAAATAAATATTGTGTTTGTGTTCACTTCAGTGAATGAGCCTTCTACGGCTTGGTGTAGCCATTGAACTACCTTGAATTGTTCCTTCAGCACGGCCTCGTATTGACCAACTACGACTAGGTCTTGCTACTGAAAGACCTTAAACTAAAATGTGTTTTTACTCATACAAAAAGAGGTATCATCCTCCTTTCTTTGGTGCATTAGTTCAAGTTGTAACTATAATATATGTCGAAATCCGGAAAAGCCATAACAGCAAAAACAAATACTATTTAACATTCTGAATAATGCATTAATGATACTATGTTAATGGCAAGTAAGACTACTGAACTTAGATGATAGATTGTATTGTGCAAGTAGATGTACCCATAATGAACGATCAGTAGTTTATGCTAAGTAGAAAGACCCCTAACGAATTTCCCTGGAAACTAAAGAAATTTAAAAAAATATGAAATGGCAAAAGTTGAGCATGTGGTCATAGCAATGTAGTGTCGTGCAAAAATATTCATCAGTTTGAAGGATATGGCACAGGAAATGATCTGAAGCCTAGAGTTGTTATCATGGAAAAAAGTTTAAAATTAGCAACCGCCACCAGTTGAGCTTATGAGGAGTGCATTAACAAGTTACGTTTAAAAGCATTGAACGGTTTGCAAGTAATGCCTCCGAATAGGATGGGACGCCAAAGACAACGGGAATCGAGCCAAAAACAATATGTCTCCCCTCCCTTTAGGGGTGGAGACAAATCTTTTTCGGTAACATGTCCTGGTCTTGTCCTACTACAACTAGGTTTTACTATTGAAATACCTTGAATTGTTTCTTCAGCATAGCCTGCTGTTGAGCCGTAAAGGTGTCTCCGAGGCCGAACGTTTTGTCGAATTCTGAGAACGTGTACATCGTGCCCCGACTGTGTAGCGCCTCCAGGACAACATCATGGACAAACTTGTACTGACTCTGAACAGAAAGATTAAAAATGGAACAGTCATAACTATGCACATGTGGTTTATGTCTATTCGTATACTGTCAGCAGCAGGAAGAATGAAACCATCACAGAGGTTCCCTAACGGAAGTCAATACACTATTGTTTGCGTGTTCGTGCAATATTTAGGCTGGTGTTGATACAGCGTTCACATACCTCCGTCTGGACCATGTTCATCCTGTTCAATCGCATCTTGCCTACACACATGTACACGTTGACTCTGTTATCACTCGCAGCTTCATCCATCAGGTAGTCCAGGGAAATGAACGCCCCTGTTCGGCCTACACCAGCGCTTGAAACATAAGAATAATACTTTGTAAAAATGTGCTTATTTGTAAATCTATTTCTTAAGTGAAGGTGACGATCAGTCAACACCACGCCCTTCGTTCTCCATAAGAAGGCTGTGTAGCTGGCACAATTTAATTGTCATCAATGGTTGCTCGTTGACATAAAGACCTTGACGAACTGGGGTCACAGGTGGCCAATTCTCCGAAGACGCCACTGTGCAAGAGTCCGTCTGCAAATCGTGGATTCGAATCGGACATTTGCTCAGAGAATGATTTTTGATTTGTCATCAAAATACCCGTTCCCGTTGGATACCCCCAAAGTGGTATCCGCTTCAGACCAGCATGATATGACAGAACTAAAATTACCATGGCAGAAGACATAAATCAGCATGCCACAAATTCATTCCTTTTCAGTTACATCTTTAGCTTCGACCTACAGATCTTTGCAGCCTGCCTTAAAATACCGGTCTCTGAGTCTATATTGGCGTCCACGTATTGGAGATATTCACTCAGAAGATCACGGATCGAGGCAAGTGGCCATGTGTCCAAGTATCAGCAAATAGTTGTCACAGCGTGTGCAGGAAAGAGTCCTCCCGTTCAGTCACTAATATGTAGGTGTCACCTACCATCACTCCCATCAATGTCTACATACTTTACTTTCAATTTGGCCCAATCCCCACGTGTACATGTAACATACCTGTACTGAATTATGACATATCCCGTTTCTGGAAAGTTACCTGCAGTGAACCACCATGGGCCCCCTGGCCATGTCCCCCTGTTTGACCAGTCTCCAGAAGTTGACGAGGGCAGGGGCAGAAGGAACACCATGGTCAGGCCAGGATGTGAAGTGGTAGTGCGTAACAGTTCTCTCGATACCCTGAGTGGAGCCAAATAGCAATCAATCAATCAATCAATCAATCAGTCAACAGAATTACAATAAATCAATTCAAGTAAAAATCAATGTATCAACTTCATATTTTGATTCATGGCATGCAGACAATTGCATATACATACTAATACTGATTGCATATAAATTTATGCCGATTAATATCTGATTAAGCCAAAGAGACAATGACATATTCAAATACATATTAAAATCATTAAACTAGGTTTGACATTTTTGCATTGTGTAGGAAAAATAATAATGAAACATATAAGTTGCTGATACAGATGAACATGTATTTGCATTAACTGCAATAACATATAATACGTTCTCATTCAAGTTACAATATTCAACCATTCTATAGTAAGATTTCATCCCAATACACACATACTTACGGAGCTTTGTACCACAAAAGTTGAGAGAGTGTAATCAGCTCTTGTTAACACATTCTTGCCATAAACCTTCACGTTTTCGTAGTTTTCGGTCTTGTTCGCATCGGGCCAGTATTTTTCACTTTTTTTCTAGAAAATGATAAATGCATTAGATTAATTGTAACATTGTTGTAGAACCAATCAACACCTTCACAGTATGTCTCAACATAAATTATCAGATAGTTCTCCAGGTAGACAAAAAGAAGCCAGGAAACACATCCTACCTTGTTCATCTCCATGAGCCTGGTCAGCATGACTATCTGTGTGACGTCCTCCTGCCACACCATCCGCCAGAAGTCAGTGATTGTCACCGGTTTGGGTCCTGTGGTGTTTATACATTTTTTCATTTATTCAAAGAAACTAATTTCATTTCTAGTACAAATGATTCAACCTAACACTTTTTACACACTTGTATTGTACCTCAGAATGAATTATCTAACCTACCTTGTGTTGCAATGTACTTCTGAGTATCATCATACCCCTGAAAAGTAGTATAAAGAACATTTACACTTTGTCTGCATATATTAAATAAATTACGCGCACCTTGCCTCCATGGTGATAGAGGTGATATTACTTATATTCGCTATATTTGCGATGGAAAGATATAAACTTATAAAATGTAGTGTACAAGTATGTATAATAATTATCCGTGTGTCCCAACTGATTTTCAGTTACCCATTCATGTAATGTTCATCACTGTATTGGCTGTTACGTTAAATGAAAGATATTCGAGACTGACTATTCTTTGTCGTTGTCATTTTGATTTATATGTACAAAGGTCAAATTGTCTGTGCCACTCACAGTGATGTAATTAGCATTGATGTACTCCTCTCCATCTGCCAACACTACCCTCGATTCATCATCTGAAGTGAATAACCAGCAGCATGAACGGTTCTGCATAGTTATAGTGATATCTATAGTTTCCTTTGAAGTAGTAATCATAAATAAGGATATTGTATAGATAATGCTATCACGAAAATCTCAATAGCATATATGCAAGTATTAGTATACAACCATATTTCTTCTTTAACATTAATTCATGATGGTAACAATCACTCTTTATATATGTCATGCATATTTATTTATCTTTTAATGTATGATCTTGATATCCACGCCAGTAATATACCGTTAATGATATAATACATGATTAACTTACATGGATACAGAGCAAGGAAGCGGTTCTTCTTCTTGTTTTCTGGCTGCTTGCCGACGTCGTGTGGGTGTTTTGCTCCATATGGGATGGCCTAAAACATAGGTTTTGCCCAATTTTTTGGTACTCATTACTCATTACCTCTCGGACGAGGCCATTTTTGTCAAGGATAATTTGGGATGCTGTTTTTTTCTTAAAACCAAATTAGAAAATCGTGGACAGGATTTAGATCGATGAGACTGTCCCTTGAGAGCTGCTTTTCACTCTTGCAGAGAAACACAAAATCACGTCCAGGAGAAGTTTTCAGCTTGTCACCTCTCTCGATGTTGTGTTGCAATATGCAGTATGTCAGTGCTTGGTCATGCCGAGACTGGCATGCATGCATTTGTGACATACGTAACAGGTGACTTGTCGTTATTCTGTTCTATGAAATAATTTCTGAAGTCATTTATTGTTCGAATTAGGTTTTATTTGTTAAAGATTCATTTTTATAATCGTTTACCACATGTTAGATATGGGAATCTCTAGGCTAGGCTGTATATAAAGACAATATAGCAGATTATGGGATACAATGTCCACATATTTCAGTGTGTTTCTCCCTGCAATATGTATCGCAATATTCAAGCGAATCATGCATGGACTCACAAAATGGATGTACACAATCGAACCTGAGAATTAGATATATCCAAAGTTTTAACCACAAGGTTACCTCATTGTCCTTTCGACAAAGTCGACCGTTCTAGCAGGGTATATTTTAAGTTATCAACAAACCTGAAATTCTGTTGCAAAAGTGGCCTTAGTTTTCTTCTCACTTATACACTGTTGCAGTTTCTCCAGCGTCATGTGAGGTGGTACAAAGTTGTAGTAGGTGGCGGCAGCCTCGTTGTCTCCGCCTACTTCAGCTTCAACAGATAGTGTGGCATCTTCGTCCTCATCGTCGCGGGCCGCTGGTGTTGATTTTGATTTCTTTCCAGCTGCGTTGTCTGAAAAATAAATCTAGAAGTTTTGAAATTACCTTCTTTTCTCACAGTTCGCGATTCCGCTTATACATGTACATACAGATCAGTACAACAGAGTGTCATTTGCCATTAATCATGCATTATCCATACCTCGCTAAAGTTTGGAAAATACATCATTGCATAACTTTTAATGTACAACGTGCTTATGGTAGCAATAGACTTCATCCATTAAGAGAACACAAGTGAGTGAAATAACACCGTCTTTTCCATTTGATAGAATGATGCGCCATTTGATTTCAACCTGCTTACAATTTACAGCTGTAACATATGGTATCCTGAACTTTACTTACTTTTATACATGTACACAGTAACATTTATTTTGTTTCAATATGTGTGGGTTATGTGAATTTATTTACTAAGGATACGGGTCATTTTGTTATTATCCATATCAGTACAATTTGACAGCACCTCAATCTTACCAGTTATGGTTTTAACTACAATCATGTCTTGGTTAGACTGCAATCTCTCGTCGTCATGTTTTGGTCCTTTTCTTAACAGAAGAAAAAGAAGGTAATGGAATCTGAGAGCATCTCCATTGTTGAAATGGCCACATGGTGGAGATATTAAATGTGATATCAATAAAATTTCAAAATATGAGGTGATGCGTATAGAAACACTATTGAGGTTGACAAGAGGTAAATGTAAATAAATGAGCTGTAAAAGTGTTGTTACGGCCGCCTGTAGATAACAACTGCGACGATTACGACGATAGCGATGACCAACAGAGCTGCAACTGCCCCTCCAATTATTCCAGCCATAGAGTCGTCCTTTCCAGCAGTATTCGACAGACCTACAAAAGGTAAAAAAATAATTGCTTTGAACAATATTTATTTCAATAACATAAAACAAGTGTACATGTATTGGATTGTTTCTCTTCTTTTATCGTAAATGTTTGCATAAATTGAAATATCTTTCGTGTCGCCCTTATATCAAACATTGGGGCAGATTAAGGATTTCGTTTCACAAGGTTGAACAAATCTTAAAGTTGACACGTATCTCTGGACACTCGATTAAGCAAATAACTACAATGTTCAGGCTACATATTGTCCGTGTGTAAACAATCATGTCTGGACCAGGGTGAGAGCATGATCAACTCCTACACCTACACCTAATAATCGTATGTAGGCTCCTGCGTCAATCATTGGATATTGAGGACCTCTTCTGTCCGAGAGTCCCCATCATATAACTTCTTTATACCCTTTTCAAATACTATGGGCTATTGGTTCAGCGGGGAGGACGTTACACATGGTTATTACATAGTCAAATCATACAATGTCGCTTTTTGCACAATTTTTGTGGGGATAGGCCAATACCGTTATTGGCATCGTAGTGTTGTGATGTTGATCTTGTTCCAGTGCATAAGAGTCATGTGATGTATTGTGTGCCAGAGGTGTAAGCCCATGTGTCGAACAGTGTAAATGCATGAGATAACGTCTGCAGTGAATGTGATACGTTAGGTAATTTTCATATGAAATTATCTTGATTCAAGTTTAAAACTGAGTGTATTTGTTTCAGACGAAAGTTGATCTTAAACAACTCTTATATGATCGTTGATTATTCGCCGTTCTTCGATGGTGATGGAGTTTAGACGTCAGATTCTACAAAGGTAATATGGCGCACATCATAAGCAATCTGTCCAACATCTATATCGAATGGCATTTCTTTTGGTAGCAGTCGATGATTCTTGTCAGTTTGTGACAGGTACAATAACAGTTAGGGGGATGTATTTGTTATTATAGATCATCCCCGAGTTTTTGTTTATTGTTTGGTTGTACGATCAAACAGAACCATTTATTTGCGACTACATAATTTAGATGAATATTTGCTTATTGGCTTCGTCAAAACGTGATAAAGTGATAAAGTATTTTGTGTATGAGAGATGACTTTTTACACGCGAGTGGATACGTGTAATTGTTACGAGGGTCGTGTCTCTCGAACAGCTGACGAAACATTACAGAATGTGAACGAGATGATCACATACATGTTGCGTGAAAAGGACCTTTAATTTCACTAGGCACATACATGTATTATCCGTAATTCCTCGTAGCTCGTAAATTATTCTCAAAATCATATTCAGTCAAAGATTTACTTTCCTTTTTAACGTCAAAGGGACACAACTCGTGTTAACATAAGCGAAAGATCACCCGCACCTGCATTCCGTTAAATTACATGACCAAGGCGTCTCTGAGTGAATACAGGCCAAGGCCAACATTCTTTAATTATTCATACTTCTAAGGATTTGATTCTTTTGTAAGAGTCATCTCCAGAGATTCTAACAGACTGTTATTAAATTCATCTCGGGCAGACAATTCATGGAAGCAATTTTATCTCTCTAAAATTCCACTGGGGTTTGGGGAAGGTCGCATTAAGATTGTGTCGCATTTTTTGCAAGGGTACAGCAGTTCAAGATTTACGGTATATAAGAAGTGGCTGTTTTGGTTCACTGTAATTTAGGGTGTTAGTCTAAATAATTCTTTCCTTGTTAATTATAGAAAATCTGTTCCTTTTCATGTTCAGACATGTACACATATACTTACGCGCGCAACGAAGACCTGAATATCCTCCATCACATCCGTTCCCGCAGGTTCCGTTCGTTTTGTCACATACTGTACCACTCTTGCAGTGACCACATTCTGACACACATCCACTGCCATACCTCCCGTCGTCACACACTGAAATAGCCAGTATGGCATTGCTAAGTCACATTTACCTGCATCTTCTGGTGTCAAATGATACGTAATATACATTTGTTCTCATAAACAAAACCAGTGGAAGTTCTAGTTGATGATTATGCACAGACTGAACTTGAAATGACAAACCATTTTTACGTGAGTAATTATGACTTCTGATATTCAGACAATCATTTAGAAAACGATACAATTTGTCATGGAAATGCAGAATTAACAGAAATACTGAGTAAACATGCACATGGATATGCATGCGCACGCAAACACTTGCGCCGACACGCAATGACAAATGACATTTCAGAGCTGATTAAGTTCACATGATTAATTGTCTTTCGGAAGCATATTTATACTCCTCTTTTCAATGCCTGTTTCCATGTATTATGGTGGGATATTTATATCCTTTTCCACGCACTTATTATGCAGTATTGAAATGGATTTTTCCAAAACAATACCAATTTACTCTTTTGATCAATCACTTCTCTAGATGTATACCTTGCAAGTGATAAATGTGAATGAAGCAAGAGATGAATGTGACAATATATGCACATGGACACCTTCTGAATGTATTGAAAGTATGGATATTTCGTATGAGACACGAACTGAAAACCAATGTGCGATATACCGTTATGACACGTGGTATTCATCCGCCCTGCTCCACATCCTCTAGGGCATGTTCCTGTTGACTTGTCACACGCATCACCATTTAGACAGTTTCCACACTTGGACGTGCAGTCAATACCATAAACACCATCTGCACATGCTGCAAAGACACTTGAAGCTGTGAGCGTACATGTAATAGTAAATGCAAATAGATAAGTCACTAAGTGATATAAATATTACATTCTAATCTACAAATAACATCATGTACATAGACTTTACTCATCTCGTTCCCGCGACATAGTGTGTTCGAATTCATTGCAACGGTTACTTTTCACGAGTATTAACCGGGTAAACTGTCAAGAAAAAGTTTCACCTTTCATGCCCACGAAACGATCGCAAACAGGACACTTAACAGTTACATATTTCGTTATATTTGGTGTATATATTATGTCCACTTCAGTTATCTTTGCCAGCTTTGACATGTCAGTATAAACAAGTTGAACTGAAAATGTAAATGTAAATATCGCCTGAGATAGGGCATATGCTAGCTTTACTCGTACCAACCTACAGTTTTGTTCATGAAACTTCGGAGGTGTCGCCTATCACAAAACTGTACATCTAAAACCGACCGTCAAAAACCTGATTTGGAAGACTTGACAACGTTATGTCATTAGAATCATATTTGACTTTCTTTTTCGCTTAAATGTTCATGTGTTTACATCGCATACAATGCACAGGTCTGACTTACCTTGATTACACCTGTCAGTGATCCACCCTGCTGCACATCCTCCAGGACATGTTCCATTTGTCTTGATGCAAACATCGCCATCCAGACAGTTGCCACACTGGACGCCACAGTCTGGACCATATGAACCACTTGGACATGCTGTGTACATAATTCAATGTTTGTTCATGATGTCAGTGCTATTTGAAATAACTTGCATTAATGTGTGTCTCACCTTCTTTATTCCAATGGTGATAAAATGGAATTATAACCAGAAACTCATATCTAAAGTATGTGAATATTTAAGGCATAAATATATTTTATGGAATAATCTGGGTTAAGAGAACACATAGAAACTTAAGTATAATATTGCATGTATAAAATCTACACTCACGTTGAACACAGGTGTTGTTCATCCATCCTGCAGCACATCCTTTTGGGCATATTCCTGTTGACTTGTTACATGCCTGACCATTAAGACAGTTTCCACACTGGGAGGCACAGTTGATACCATACCGTCCATCCAAACACGCTGTACACGTTAAAACGATTATAAAAAGTTAATAATGTTCAGGATGATGAGAAACATGGAAGATATTCTGCTGTCTAGGAAGATTTCAAAGAGCGCCATACAACGCTTGCTCGAAGTTGTTTGATCAAGTTAAAACCTCAAATGCCCTATTGAAGAGTTTAAAGATTTTATGATAGACACGTGGAGGACATATCCATATACTTGACTTATCAGTGACCAAAAATGTCTGATGCAATATACGTTCCCATGAGTGTTTCTCTTTGAACACTTGAATTGTCTTTGCATGTGTTTGTGGCGGGTGCGACCGATAAGGCATGATACACTGACTTTGTCGCACTCCAAGCAACGAAAAACTATTCACGTTGAAGACAGGTGTCGCTTAACCACCCTGCTGCACAACCTCCAGGACAGTAGCCTGTGGTCTTGTAACAATGGACAGCGTTTAGGCAGCTTCCACACTTGGAGGTGCAATCTCCATAGTACCCGTCTGGACATGCTATACATGTCAAAGAAGACCTTTGTCAGTTGTATTATTAAATGTTTATGAAAACACGTTAATTTGTAATGTTATTATGCTCGTAATGCTATAAACGTCATTCTCAAATGGTTGGAACATGCCAGGAGACATTACCAATATCAAACACTGTGGACGGACCGAATATATCATACGCATCAAGGTATATATCACCGCATCTTATTGAAAACACGATGGCATTTCGTGTTACATTCAACCAATTAATACCTTAATTAATACGTACTAGTAATTCGTCCATTTAAAAATGTCCTGTAACGTTTGCTGTGTATGTCTGGAACGTTAGTATGACGTCATTATGATTATATGACAAGAGAAATGACTTCATCTCTCCCTTTATATTCCGCAATATTCCAGCAGTTCCAGCCTTCGGTGTCCACGTTTCACAACTTTAAAGATCCAATCAAACATGATCTTTGAACGGAAATTTCGACTCTTGTTCAAAGGTTATTTGATAAAGGTTACAACATTTAAAGCGTCACCAGCGCTTTAACAAAGTTTTATAATAGACATATAGAGGATATTTCCAAATTTGATGCATCATTGTCTGATGCAATTGCCTATTTCGTCTTTTACCATATGATGTTCACGTGTTTGTATTCAGGCGGGCACACACACCTTTTCGCGATTTCACTATTTGATAGTAATATATATATATATATATATATATATATATATATATATATATATATATGCTTTTAGCAGGGATTTCTTTTGAATGTGGAAAGAGTTTTTTAGCGTATGTACTTGTGAAACAGAGGTGACTCTGGCAAACCTAAAATCAAGCAATGATAAGCCTTCCTTTGTTTTTCAAGACTACAATCATCAATGATTGTCAGTGAAAGTAATTAAATGCCCACTATCTGTGATAAAGTACATATTGATGAAAAAAAAATTCCTGACTCGTAAAAAACATGTTTTTATTGAATAGTGCTTTAGAATGTATTGTCTTTGAATTGTCAAAAACATTGATCAAATTCAGTGAAAACCCTATCTATGTGAAAGACATCATTAGCGAATTTACATTAAGAAATTTCGTAAACGTACTCTAATAATATGCATAAAATCAAACTCAAAACAAAGAAATGTACCCACGTTGAAGACAGGTGTCAGTTGACCAGCCTGCTGCACAACCTCCAGGACAGTAGCCTGTGGCCTTGTTACAGTAGGCATGATTGCGACAGCTGCCACACTTGGAGGTGCAATTTCCATAGTAACCGTCTCGGCATACTGTATATGAAGTAAAAGAATCAGTTGGTCACCTATACCACAGATTACATATATACAGTACGCACTGTATGCAATTACATGTTTATTAAAATATGATACACGTATCCTTGATAAATCACAGATATGTTCTGTGCATGCCAATTCACATTATAATTAACATGGCGCCTACGTAAATCATACCGGTTTTTACAGTTTTGCTAAACGTTTCACTTTAAGGATAAAGGGGTACAAGAAGGTTAAAAGATCACGACAGGGTCATCAATAAAGGGACGTTATTAAGGTATTATATAATGCACGTTCCTTACTTTTGTCAATTTTCAAAAGTCACAGACCCCCTGCATATTTTACAGTAAAACACTCTACTCAATTGACTCCAGTGTTTGTGGATATACCTCTAAGACATCATGTTATGTTCACACCAAAAGATTTCACTATTTCGCAATGCCGTCTATGTGAATGAGTAAAAATTGCTTTAATCTGCATCAGCAGTATTGCAGCTATTCGCGAGCGGAGCAAAAATTAGTTTTCTACAGAACGGAACATTGAACAAAACTGATGGAAAGATCACTAACACACCAGTCAAACATCACAGTTTACAGTAAAAACTGACGTTCAAAACTTAAAATCTATATCTAATCAAACAGTTTAATTTCCTTAAAATTATGCTGAAATAAGTTGTAAGAAACGGTATTAAAAGGTCCAAAACAGTTTGAACAACATAAAACATTGACGAATCAGTCCAAAATCAGTGAAGGCATGTTATCCAACCAAGGGTTGTGTGGAATTAAAGACTTGGTTATTCCAGCTTTGCCACAACATATTTCTAACATATTGCCAAACAGCAGGCTTCATATCAGTATATGGAAAAATACTTCTCGTAAATGATCCGTGTATGCGAGGCTCCGAACCTGTACCTGATTGACAATTGATTCCCATGTATCCTGGAGCACATCCACTCAGACACTGTCCAGTGATCTTGTCACACACTTCTGTGTTTTGTGAACAGTGACACTGATTGTCACAATCCTCATCAAACCAACCGTCACTGCAAACTGAATATGAGCATGATACGAATACAAAGCTAACATGAAATATAAATGACGACATCTTATTGAAATCATATATTATTCTTGATGAACAAAATTTTGGAAAGAGTCCATTTGCGCAGCCCATTAAAAACCAACAACACATTAAGGAGAACACAGGAAGCCAAATACGTTAAAGGTGAATGTAATATTTCTGTCCTGTCTACTTTTCTATTTCTAGAGCTGATGTGAAGGCCTGTTCTCTATAATGGCATATACACCAATATCTTTTACCAAAGCGGGGCGAAAGCTCTACGATTCCCTAACCCCTTGCTGATCAGGGGTTTGTTTGGTCTGTCACCAATAGTCTCACCAAATACCTGAACATCTACTTCCGGGGTAGCTTTACTATCAGATTATGAAGACTGGCTGTGATATAACTTAATTGTTGATCAAAGCAACGTTACAACGCAAATCTTTCGCTCACACGATCAATGGTGTATGTTAACCTCCAAATATCTCCACCTCGCATGGTGTGAGAAAATCGCTTGTCTGTATAGTGAGTGTATTTACACAAATAGCTTTGTCCCGCCTCTTGCGATAGTTCTTGGATGCCGCAAGAAGAATAATTTAACATATGTAACCAGGCTAACTTTGGATACTTCTCACACATTAAACAGTCATCCTGTGATACTACTTAATTATTATTCATAGCAACGTTACAACTCTAATGTTTCACTCACACGATCAATGTTTACCTACCAAATATCTGCACCTCGCATAGCGTGAGGAAATCGCTTGTCTGTATGGTGAGTGTGTTTCCTGTCAGTGGTTGTTGACATCTAACGTCAGCTGTAGCAGCCGGTTGGGTATTCGTTGACCACTGAGCGCACAGATGTCCATCGACGAATATCTTCATGCCCTTGTTTCTTTGTAGTTCTGGATTTCAATGGGAAAATGTGCAGTCTTATGAGGGTCAGGCGTTATAGTTGATAAAGCACCAGATCGTTTAGGACCGTGAAATAGGTCTTCAGCAGCCAATGCTTGCCGTAAAAGGTGACTATGCTTGTCGTAAAAGGCGTCTAAATTGATCGGGTGGTCAGGCTCGCTGACTTGGTTGATGCATGAGGCTCACTGACTTGGTTGATGCATGTCATCGATCCAAATTGCGTTGATCGATGCTCATGATATCAATCACTGGATTGTCTGGTCCAGACTGGATTATTAACAGACCGCCGTCATATAGCTGGAATATTACTAAGTGCGGCGTTATACAACTAACCAACCAACTAAATAACCAGATAGATTAGTCATGTGAAATAGTACAGAAGGTTATGGCATGCACGAACACAATTCCAAAAAGACACAAAAATGTTCCCGAGATCAGGATGATCATGGCTTTTGACCACAACGTACCTATACTGACAACAATCCAAAAGCACCTGTCATTAAGCAGTACAGTACAAGATCCATACACCAACGATACATTTTGTTATGTTAATGATTTAGTTATGTGTAGTCAAACATGCTACATTTTAATGATATTCGTCATATCAAAAACAAAAACAAATTATATTTTGCTACCCATACTCACGGTCATTACGTAGATACAGCCTGATGCGTTGTATCTTGTCTGTGTTAGAGGTGTTCAGGTACACAGTCCATGTGTGGACTCCCCAGTTTGTATGCGTACATGTCAGTGGTTTACTATAGAAGATGTTGGTAGTTCTGCCATCTACAGCATATTTAGCCTCGAAATAGTGTTGTGTATACCCTGTCAGGTAGTTGTTTTCAACGTATGTACTGCTCTGGTTGGCACTTCTTCCTAAAGCAATATTTTCTGAAGAAAAAGAAACAGTGTCATCACCATACACATAAGACAATGGTGGAAACTATGCAAGAAGGTTCAGGTGTGACAACAGCTAATGTATGGCCGTGTACATAATTTATTGACATTCAGTTTACTTAATTAACTGAAGTATGGAAACAATTTGGAAGCCAACGTGGAATATTGATCTAAGGTGTTTAGTTACATTACTTGCATAATATAGACACCCTTGCTGAAATAATAGAATCACAACTGTATATGCTGACGATACAGTCTAAAAGTTTTGCCACTATATATATTAGCTTCTTGGTACGGCTTTCAATATTAATTACCATTTTTCTTCACAACAGCTAATTATATATTTGGATAGTAATGAGTCCTGTTCATAAGGACATCGTGTCAGAATACATGTATATATCTTACACCCTCTTAAAACTACACGCAAAGGAATGCAATAATCTCTGAATACGTCACATTTCCCCCCACACAACAACTTAATTTTTCGGCAATTGCATATTCCAGTTTAAATCTTAGTATGCACCCAACTGTTCAAAACGTTGTCGTCGTTCTTTCAGTTGCGTTCTGCAACGTGTTTTCAATCTAAAGCACAGATCGAAGTCAGTATGTAATTTACCGAGATGGACTAATTCTAATAGTGACAAGATGGAAGAGTCACATACAATAATAGTGATAATATATTATAATATCCTGTTCATATAGCGCCAAGTTTCTTATACAATGTACGTAGTACAGTCTGTGTGGGGGAAAACAGATGTGTTTTTAATTGCTTGCGGAAAGCTTGGAGACTGGATGCCAATTTCATTTTTATGGGAAGATTGTTCCAAAGGCCAGATGATGCACATTGGAAAGGGAGTCGTAGTTGGTTCTTGATTGGGGTATGATGATTTAGTCTTTGTTCTGTGATCTCAGAGTTCGGGATGGAATGTGACTTTTGAGGAGTGACGACAGATATGATGGGACTGAGTCGTATTCAAACACTTTTAAACAAAGATGAGCAGTTTGAAATTGATTATGTTGGTAACACAAAGCCAGGTTTTTTATCCGGAGTACTGCAGAGTACTGCCAAGAAAGAAAAACAAAAGCCAATCCCGAATACTCACGTCTCTGGCAGTAGGAACCAAACCATCCCTGTTGACATCTGTCTGGACTACCGACCTGGCTACAGGGTGTAGACGGGAACAGGGAACAGGCAGTCGCTTGGTCACAATGGCATTCGGCATCTACAGAGATATTGAAAATAAATAATGTTGTTTTGACAATATAGGGATATCTACTTTTACAGATCAAATAATGTTTCATCTTCCTACTTGATATCCAGTCTTAGCTAGAACTGTTATAACCAGGATAGCAGGTACCATATGAAACAAAGTAGCACATTCATAGTTGATGGGGGCACGGGTGGCCCAGTCGTCTAAGGCGCCGCGATTCGCTGTGCAGAGTTGCGTCCCTTGGGCACGCCAGAAACCTATGATTGTTGGTTCGAATCCCGGTTCGCCCCGATTATGTTTCTAGGTTTGTCAGCACCATACCCGTGCTCGTGGGTTTCACCGAAGTGGTAAACGTCTGAGACCTGCATCACTTCGGGCTTTCCTCCCACATTAACCTGACACGCCGTGATATGACTGGAATACTGTTAAAAGCGGCGTTAAGCCCAACTCACTCACTTACTCATTGTTGATACTAAACGGACTTTTATAGAAAATCTTACCAGTGAGTGTCCCAGTGACTAACACCAACAGCACCCCAGTCAATAACCATGCCATTTCGTCTCAGGTCTGTTTCTTGGGAGCTGAATCTTGAAACGAAATAGAAACTGACGTTGATTCTACCACCATTCATATTTCATGCATGCATACAAACCACACATAGTTATAGAGGACATGCTACGTGCCTATAACACGTTCTACGTTCAACTGGTACGGTGTTTGCAGCTGGGAATATCACAAATATTTACTAATTGGCAAATTCCTAATTGACACATTTTTATTTATCTGCCCAATCGAACAAATAAACAAGTAAACTCGTATTCTTGCGAAACAAATCCTTCGGGCTCATCTTGTCAAGATTGCCCTGACATTTGATACGCCCTCATCGGAACAATGACACAGCGGAACAATAGCTTGCCGACAGGTATACTAGATTATATGATAAATGTACGAGACAATGGACGGATGTAAACACACGGATAAGAGTAGTTATCATATTCTTTGTCATCACTGCGGACTCGACAAACATAACATTGTATATGTGGAACGTGCAGAACAGTTTACGTACGTATATGTATTGGTATCTCAGTTGATCACATTTGAAATTCATGGACACTGATTGGGGTATTACAGCTACGCATCAACTAAACGGACATGAAAATTTGCATCTTTACATCCGTGTCAATTATCAGTTTATAAACAAAACATCTGACTAGTTTCACGTGCACCTTTGCTATCATCGAATTTGTTATGGACACGCGCTTAAGGTGCATCTTTCTGCTATCGTCGCGTTTGTTATGGACACGTTTCACGTGCATATGTTCTATCGTCGCGTTTGTTATGGACACATGTTTCACGTGCATATTTGTTATCGTTGCCTTTGTTTTGGACACGTGTTTCACGTGCATTTTTGCTGTCTTCGCGTTTGTTATGGACACGCGTTTCACTTGCATCTTTGCTATCTTTGCGTTTGTTATGGACACGTGTTTCACGTGCATTTTTGCTGTCTTCGCGTTTGTTATGGACACGCGTTTCACTTGCATCTTTGCTATCTTTGCGTTTGTTATGGACACGTGTTTCACGTGCATTTTTGCTGTCTTCGCGTTTGTTATGGACACGTGTTTCACTTGCATCTTTTCTATCGTTGCGTTTGTTATGGACACATGTTTCACTTACATTTTTCTATCTTCGCGTTTCTTATGGACACGCGTTTCACTTGCATCTTTGCTATCGTTGCGTTTGTTCTGAACACATGTTTCATGTGCATCTTTTCTATCGTTGCGTTTGTCTTAGACACGTGTTTTACTTGCATCTTTTCTATAGTCGCTTGTGTTATGGACACGTGTTTCACTTACATATCTGCTATCTTCGCTTTTGCTATGGACACGTGTTTCACTTGCGTTTCTGCTATCGTCGCGTTTGTTATGGACACGTGTTTCACTTGCATATTTGCTGTAGTCGCGTTTGTTATGGTCATGTATGTAGCTTTTATCATATTGCTACGGTCAAATAAAACGAGGTCCATAATAGTTTCATCAATAATAGTTTAAAGTTTCTAAAACCATACTCAATCAGCACGTTCAAAATGCTTCCCATTTATATAACATAAATTGTAATTTAACACGCTCTTCTGACATGCTTGGGTGACACATTGTATTAGGTTTCGAATGGTGAGGAAATGTGAATTCTTGCCCCAAGCCAGTACATAAATGGACAAGACAACATTCCATGCAAGCCTAGAATACTTAGTATAGATTTATTCTTTTTCTGATGCAGCTCTCTGATTTATAATATTACACAATTTAACATCAAGTCTGTCCTGAATTCTAGTTAAATCTGAAATATATGTTTGCTTTATTTTTGTGATTAAAACAGCAAAAATATTAAAGTGGAGATTGTACATACCACTTGTTGCATCATTCGATTTCAAACTGGAACGATGATATAAATATGGTTCGGCTGTTTAATAGTTGTGAGTGAGTGAGCAAGTTGGGTTTAACGCCGCTTTTAACAGTATTCCAGTTATATCACGGCGTGTCAGCTTAATGTAGGAGGAAAGCCCAAAATGATGCAGGTCTCAGACGTTAACCACATCGGTGAAACCTACGAGCACTAATATGGTGCTGACAAACCTAGAAACATAATTGGGGCGAACCGTGATTCGAACCCACAATCATAGGTTTCTGGCGTGCCCAAGGGACGCAACTCTGCATAGCGAATCGCGGCGCCTTAGACGACTGGGCGACCCGTGCCCCCTTTAATAGTTGTGAACTCTTCACAAATGGTGGATTAACTATGATGGATTTAACTGGCGTAACTGTAGCTCTGCGTTGCTGCTAAACGATTTGGATTGTTACTTTTCACTACACAGAGCTGCAGACTGTCCCACAGTGTTTTCCTAAAGATACCCGATTCGGAAAATACCGCACTCACAACCCTGCCATAAAGTGTACATGGATCGTGATCCCACTAAAGCTGCAATCCGATTCGCTCTCTAAAACACATTCCTTAAAATACATGTACTTATATTTTCGATCACACGACTTTCTATGTTCTTATCGGGATCGCATCATCGAAGGTGTACGGAGCTTAGGCCGCCATTGTTGTTGGGTGAGCATGTCGGGGTCCTGTGGCTACCCGGATTTAGAAGCTACTATGTTTATGTTTATAGAGCTCAACACAGACTGTCACACATCAGTGATTTTTCCGCTGTGGTGAATCATGCAACAATAATGCACTGGTATAGTTGGGAGACTCTGTTGTCGTGAGTTGTCCACAAACACATACAATTATACGCTGTTTTCACTCATGCTATGTTTGAAGCAATAGTTTCAAAATGTATATGAATATACTCGTGTGTATAACGAGAAAGGGTGACTAATATCAACAAAACGGGTATCCACAAATACCTCTCCATGTCAACACAATTCACCGTGCCCTGCAAACTAAAATAGACTCATAACCCAGCGTCCGGTCTCTCAAACGCCAGACGCTTTACAACTAGCCATAATGGTCATGTCATAGTTCATCTCCCTTCAGAAATTACGGTATCAATTACAAATGTATAACATCGTGGTAATGAAAGGTACATCATACACATCGAGATGAATTACACAATGTTCGACACGCATGTAAGACGCTACAACAACTCACCTGTGTGTTCCCACAAAGGAACAGTGAACTTCAACCAGGAAGAAAGTTGTTGATCTTTGTAACGTGCTGTGACCCAGGGTCTCCCCATTTTCCAGGAGCGTAAGTTTGCATTGGCTGGTATTTTGTTAATATTACATCCTGGATTCCTAGGTTTTCGTATACAGTCTTTAGATGTTATCCATGTGAATCAAATGTCTCTGTTGGATAGAATATCTGGTAAACACTGGGGAAAAGTAGGAAGCTAGAAAACAAACACAAGTGACACTTATATGTTATGAAGTAACTTCTGTGGTAGGGAACGAAAGTGTGAAGTGAATAGCTGTCTAAGGAAAGAATTGTTAGTTAATGTATAGAATTAATATTAACGTCTATCTTTATCAGAAACAATCTCTAGATTTCAGTTATACCTAAATATCTAGATCCAACTTATACCTAAAAACCTACTTCTCAGTTATCCCTAAAAATCTTGATCTCAGTTATACCTAAATATCTACTTCTCAGTTATACCTAAACATCTACATCTCAGTTATACCTAAATATCTAGATCCCACTGATACCTAAATACCTACTTCTCAGTTATACCTAAATATCTTGATCTCAGTTATACCTCAATACCTACTTTTCAGTTATACCTAAATATCTACATCTCAGTAATGCCTAAATATCTCCATCTTAGTTACTCCTAGATATCTAAATCTCAGTTATACCTAAATATCTACATCTTAGTTACACCTAGATATCTAGATCTCAGTTATACCTAAATATCTACATCTCAATTATGCCTAAATATCTACATCTCAGTTATACCTAAATATCTACATCTCAGTTATATCTAAATATCTACATTTGTTACACCTAAATATCTACACCTCTGTTATGCCTTAATATCTACATCCCACTTATACCTAAATATCTAGGTCTGTTATACCTAAATATCTACATCTCAGTTATACCTAAATATCTACATCTCAGTTATGATAAAATAACTTGACCTCAGTTCTACTTAAGTATCTAGATCTCAGTTAATACCTAAATATCTACATATCAGTTATACCTAAATATCTACATCTCAGTTATACTTAAGTATCTTCATGTCAGTTCTACCTGATGACTTGATCTCAGTTATACCTCAATATCAACATCTCAGTTATACCTAAATATCTAGATAGCAGTTATACCTAAATATCTAGATAGCAGTTATACCTGAATACATATACGGTTTCCATCCTCCTCAGTATGCGATTCATGTACGAAATTCCTTGAGACTAACTTTTTGCATAAAAAATTGTAATCTATCCAGTGTCTGGCTCACGTTGAGGCCTGTCAGAAATCTGCCACCTCGATTCTCATGCATTGTATTATAATGAGTGAGTGAGTTGGGTTTAACGTCGCTTTTAACAGTATTACAGTTATACCGCGACGTGTCAGCTTAATGTGGGAGGAAAGCCCCAAGTGATGCAGGTCTTAGACGTTTACCACTTCGGTGAAACCCACGAGCACGGGTATGGTGCTGACAAACCTAGAAACATAATCGGGGCGAACCGGGATTCGAACCCACAGTTATTATAATGAGTGTGTGTGTGCCATGAATGATGCAGATTGATACAGGTACAGGCCATGAGCATAGGTAAATTGCTGACCCGAATCAGAATCAGGGTGTAACTGGGATCCTTGCACATCTTAGGAATCCATCTTTTGACAGGGAAGTACAGTGTCTCAGGCGACAGAGAAATCGTGACTTCTCATTTATATCACGTGGGCACAATAAACCCAAATACGAAGATTTCTTTTCGTTAACATGTTATGATTATACGCCGTATTCATTTACATGTAGGTTTATATTAAATAACAGGTCACCGAAGCAAATAGCTGATTCATGTTGAGGTTGTTTTATTACTCTGCCCTGCAAATATTAAAGTGTGTTATACATTTGTGTTGCCAAAGCGAAGCGTAGATCTTCCGCTTGACTGCATACGTGTCAGCTAGCCTGGCGAGAACCTCATACCTGCTCCTGTCGCCGTCGTATTGAGACATTATCACAATGAGAGTATAGCCTGGGGTGGCTGGTTGCGATAAATGAAGGAGGGATGATGTGAAAAATAGCATTGAGATACATTCTTTGACAGCTGTGAAGGAAGACTGCGGTTACAATATGGACATATGGTGCAAACACGTACACTAACAAGCACATTATGTTAGGTTTAATCGCCCAGGTGGATTTGAGTCAGATTATGGGAATGCGTGAAGTGGCAGACATGGGATGTTACTGATGCGCAGGGATCAATGTATAAAATGGACATGCTTGGGGCGATTACAATATTTGTGACAATTAAACTCCTTTAAAGCAGGACACTACGCAATATGTACACCTTTCAGTAACGTGTACGGCACTGCTACCTACAGTGACGACTACTACAGAGCCTACTGTGCATGTCACGGACTACCTTTTACGTGAAAATAATATGTGTAAAAAAACTGTATAACGTCAATCAAATTACATTATAAATTCATGAATTTCTTTGTTTGTTTGTTTGTTGTTTAACGCCGCACTCAGCAATGTTCCAGCTATATGACGGCGGTCTATAAATAATCGTGTCTGGACCAGACAATCCAGTTACTGACATCATGAGCATCGATCCACACAATTGGGATACGATGACATGCATCAACCAAGTCAGCGAGCCTGACCAAACGATCCCGTTAGTCGCTCTCTTTACGACAAGCATAGTCTCCTTTTACGGCAAGCATCTGTTGCTGAAGATCTATTCTGTCCCGAATCTTCACGGGTCATTCATGAATTCATTAAGATATCATTTTGATAGTATTTTGATTTGTGCCCGATTTATCACCACAATCCTTGCTAGTACAACGATCAGGTATCAACATAATTGCGATGTTTAGATGGTTGTACGCCATGAATAGTTTTAGATCGATGTTATCGGGCAACATCACACGAAGGACCTTTTGTTATCACTGGTGTAGTTTCTAGTTATATATAAAATGCTTTGGGCAAACGAAGTTAATTGCGTGACAATGGACAGTATATTTTTCTGGCTATCGTTTTGAAATATATAAATAACCTTACACTTGTTAAAAGAAGCAGTACCATGCTTAAGGGCTCCACGACGATTTCCGGGTCATTTTTATGCGTCGGATATTACAGACGGCGTATAGTCGTTGGAAACTAGTAGAGTGATTATAATTATTATTATGCACATAATTAAATTTTCGTTGTTTCGTGGATTCCGTATAATAATAATTATAACTGTACTTTTGAATTCCATATGTATGCACACTATATGGACTATCATACAAAGTAGACTTGCGACAGATACTGTAGCATTTCATTGTGTAAATAAATGGGATATATCATCAACCACGTGAACTTATTGTCAATAATAATGAGTGTGATTGAGAATGTTGGCTCCCATGTCCATATCAATCGCAATGAGGCAGGATACTATCCTTCCTAACTGAAGTAGATTGTCCCAAATTACCAATAACTGCAGGAATACTTTCCTTTACATGTACAAGAGTTTGTTGTAGCTTTCATACGTTGCTAGAGTTCCACCCAGGAATCCCCAAGGGTTCCTATGCCTTTTAACACATTTGTTTGTTCGTCTGTTGTTTAATGCCGCACTCAGCAATATTCCAGCCATATGACGGCGATCTGTAAATAATCGAGTCTGGATCAGATAATTCAGTGACTGACATCAAGGGCATCGATCCTCTCAATGGGATACGATGACATGCATCAACCAAGTCAGCGAGCCTGACCACCCGATCCCGTTAGTCGCCTCTTACAACATACAACATATTATCAAAACCTAATTCTTAACGTGTTTTGAAAGTGCTAAATGTGTATGCTTAATGGCGATCACAGCTTAAAAGGACAGGACCTTTTATATTATATGTTCTAGATTTTATTTATTGACCCCAGCAGCTACCAGGCGTCCAGTTCCACACCCTCTGCGCATTTAATAAACAGAACTAAGTCTACAAATTTTCCACCATTTTAATACATTTGTTTTCTTGACAAATAATATCGAGTAACTTGACAAAGTTGATATTTTCAGGATTGGCTCAGGTAACGAGGTGAACTTGTTAATTGACAAGATAAGCCAAATGTCATATTTATTGTTTTGTTCTTTTCACAGATCTCGTCGGAAGTACAAGGAGTCAAACAGGCAAACTAAAAGTAGTTAATGCAAAAATATGATTTCACTCAGATGAATACAATACTAAATTTCTACATGCATAATAAAAATGGTAAATGAATTTTACATTCACACTAGGCTTATAGTGACAATGGTCAAATATATTTCTTTTGCAAATTAAGAAGTTGGCGTGGATTAGAACGTCAAATGGAAGCAGTATGCAGGTAGTGGTTTGAACGTCAGTCTAGCCGGAAGGGTCGTGGCAGCTGTTCGATAGGAAACAGCAGGGTTAAATGACATACTCATTCTCACTGGTCAGGCTGCTGGACCGCAGTTTCAAATGAGAAAATGCTTCAGTTATACACGTGACATGTAATAGTGCATGTGGATACGTGTACCATACAAATCAAGACCATGTGTATTGGAAATACATGAATATGTCATGACATATGCTATTGACCTGCACAAGAGATGACTTTACAGATGTATCAATAATGTTCATGCGTATACTGCAGCTGGTAAATATAAAACATCAATAAAAGAGAATAACCAGTTTTGATTATCCGTCGAAACAGATTCTATTTTGGCGCAAAATAGCCTTGCAATTGATGTGGATGGACAACTGAAAATCAGCGATGGCACCACGAGAATTTGTAGCACTACTAAAGCTATATATTTCCACATAACGTAGTCAGTTCTCACATCCGTCTGTTGTGTTAGTTTTGATTAAAATATTTTTGTTTTTGATTACAAAGAGATATCGAAAGTTGAAAAAAAGAAACCAATATCGATTATCTAATGTTTTGTTACTGTTAATCTTTCCCTTTGTTGATGTTTTTGTATCTTATGATTTAACGTAGTACTTGTGAATAGCTTGCGAAATATACCATGGTCATGTACTGACAAAGCAGGCAACGTTGGTGTCTTAGACATTAATACAATGATGCCAGTGCAATATGACCATACATGTACATGTATGTCAAAAAGCTATATGGCAGCTTTGGGATGTATGTGAAATTATAGATAGGTGAGTTATCAACCAAACGCTTTATCCGCGAACGATTATTCGACGGAAATCGCTTCAAATGATTTCTATAAAAGGTCAGATATCCAATTCCACAATATTCCCACGCTAAGCTGTCTTCGTAAGTCTTTCTTAGATAATGAAACAGCATTCGATAGGATATGGCACGATGGATTATTTTACAAACTACATAAACTAGGCATTAAAAGGTAATACTCTCTCTCTCTCTCTCTCTCTCTCTCTCTCTCCCTCACTCTCTCTCTCTCTCTCTCTCTCTCTCTCTCTCTCTCCACTTTGGATCGTTTTGGTGAAATTTCAGCAGACCAAATGTAAGTGAAAATGACAGACGGCGAGCCAAAAGGAACAACTGATTCGATACCTCGCAGCATAACGTCGTGCGTCAATCCAATGGCAGGACCCGTGTCTAAAGGTGTCAAGGTGACCGATACGTCAACCCACGTGTTCTTGAATGCAATCGGCATTATGATGTGGGGTAGAATAGCTGCTATAAAAGGCACTCAAGTGCTTGTGATTGATTGGCATTGAATACTTTGAGATGCTGGGGTGAGATTTGTAAACGACCGATTTAAGGTTATTATTTTAGCACAACGACAATCCCGACATTGCACCATAATAACGCCGGACTATATGTTGCTTGAGTTGTATAGTAGTAGTGACCAAACGAGAAAAAAGATGTTGACCCCACCCAGAACAATGTTGTTAAAACGAATCTGCTCTATATCAATCTACAACAAGGCAGTTCTTTTGATGCAACTGATTGTGATCAGTTCAAATTCGGACCTAACGGTCTTCGCCTGCATTAGCATAGGGAGTGGTGCTGTCAATGTGTTCATAAGTGTTTTCCATAACTGGATCCTTGGTCTTCTCATCAAGAGATATGTAGTTATCTTCAGACTTCTTCTGTAAAGCATCCAGTTGACACTTCAGTCTGAAATATACAGCAATAAGCTAGTAATACACAAGATGATTTGTTACATAGAGAATCTCACCTTAGTGTCTTTTGATATCAAATATATCAACACAAGTTGAAAAAAGTGGGAAAACAACGAGGCTTGCCGAGGAGTTTTTCCACTTTATCAAGGAGTGTTGATATATTTCATATCAAAAGTCACGTGGGTGAGATTATATTTATCATCCAACATCATTCTTCCAGCTTTTTCAGTTTGTAGACAGTAATAAGCAGTGTCTTAAGTGTATAAAGTACTGCTAACAGCTTCAGTAGCAGTACCATTAGTGATGTAATTTGATTGTGACGGCGGTCTGTAAATAATCGAGTCGGGGCCAGACAATCCACTGATTAATATCATGAGCATCGATCCACGTATATGGGATCGATGACATGCATCAACCAAGTCAGTGAGCCTGACCACCCGATCCCGTTAGTCACCTCTTACGGCAAGCATGTTCGCCTTTTACGGCAAGCATGGGTTGCTGAAGACCTATTCTACCCCGGATCTTCACGGGGACTCCTATGTGAGCCAGTTTTGGATGATAAATTCTATCACCACTAGTTGTTTCTTGTTTGTGATGCAGAGAAATGCAATCCTAGTATTCAATATCTATGTAAGGAGAATGTCTGGTACGTCTCTGTGACTTTTTAATCAATCCTAATTGTCTCTTGAATAATTGTCTCAATCAATCAATACAACTGAAGTATCGCCAAATGTACGCTCCACATTCGTACATGTTTGTACGAATTGATACTTTCTTAGAATACTTGACGTACATTGTACATGTACATTATCGTTGTAGGTCTAATCAACTGAAGTTCTGTGTAAAAAATTAAAATGAATTTCATGTTATATTATTGAGTATGAATTCAAAGTAAAACAATAATGAACGACGTATCATCAATATGATAAACAGAATCTGTAAGTTAGAGTTTCTAATGTACAATCATTCACACGGAACCAGTTACTATTGCTCAATATTATGAACCCTCTTTTCATGTTCATGATATTTTACACATTACAAGATCCTTACCTTCTGATGTAAAAGATGGACGTCAACAGAGCGATAACAGCCAAGACGAGAAGTGTTCCGAGTGTTGCTACAACTGGCGCTTCCCGGCTTAAACATCCTGGTGTTGCCGGACACACTGTACAACATTGTTTGTGAAGACAAGTAAATGATTCATATTCCTTAATACATTATGTAGTCTTTACAAATGCCTTGATAGGCTTTACTAAGTTCCTTTCAAAGAGAAGTATTGACTAAACAAACGAGTTTTATAATATTGATTAACCGACAGGATGACTAAGCAAAAATTGTAAAAGTCGACTTCAAAATGTAAAAGACAGTAAATAGATTTTATTATTTTTCCTATTGAATTTAGCGTCCTACCTTGACACAGGGGCTTCATTAAGTTGCCCTGACATCCTTCAGGACACTCCCCACTGGACTTATCACAGGTCAGGGCGTCTTTACACTGACCACATCGGGACATGCAGTCATCCCCGTACATACCATCAACGCATTCTGGCGAGTAGACGACATATATTTTTTTGCTGAATACTTTATTTTTTTGATAAAATTAGCAAGGCTGCAGGGAAAGGAGAGTTGTTATCATGTACAAAGAGTGAACAATTACATCCATCACATCGAAAATGCATCCCACCTTTACAATTGGGTTCTTGAAAGCCTGGCAGACAACCCTGATCGCATGTTCCATTGATTTTGTTACAAGGCAGGTTTCCTTTACACTGGCCACATTCAGACTGACAGTGGTGTCCATGACGACCGTCACTGCAAGCTAAAACAAATAAGAGTTACCATTAACAAAAAGACAAAACGTTTCAGGTTTGTTGACAATAGTAAAGATCAAGTACCTACCCTGTGAACAGACATCTGGCCACCATCCAGGCTGACATCCTCTGGGACAATTCCCTGTCACATTGTCACAGACAAAAGTGCCCAGACAGTGACCACACTGAGATGGACAGTTGACACCGTATCGTCCGTCCGGGCATGCTGTAGACAGTAACATGAGCAATCGTCACTGAACATAAACTCTTAGCGAGGACAAGCTTTGATTAGGCCGTGAGTCACACAGGTACAAATGTGTACATTTTGTGAGCATGAGACAACATCAAATCATGTCAGGCACATATTGTCCATTACTATGGTCAAGTACATGTCAACCATTTAGTTCAGGTTCCTATATACATGTAGGCAGATTTAATGATTGTTTAATGTTTCTACTATTTTACAATAGAACTTTTCATGTAAATTACAGGTATTGACTAAGGACACAAATGCTAAAGAGTTCGTTTCCAAACTAAAGAAGATGTATCCATTGTTCAGTTAAATTACCTAACATAATCTCAGTAGGTTCATATCCTAATTGCATGTATACGCCACTTCGTTTCGTTTCTTTTGTTAAAAACGGAGATGCATTAACTCTTATGCACATTTTCACTTATAAATTGAAACATTACTGGGGTTGAGGAGCAGTTGTTCATGTGGCACTCTCGATGCGTTATCAACGACGAATCAGTGCATTTTGAATATGTCTCCTACTTTTCCTGTTGAATAGCGAGAGATAAAAACGAAATACTTTAAAACATGATCATTTCATTGTATCTTTTAATTACAGCCTGACTTACCTTGATTACACCTGTCACTGATCCATCCTGCTGCACATCCCCTAGGACATGTTCCATTTGTTTTGATGCAAACATCGCCATCCAGACAGTTGCCACACTGGACGCCACAGTCCGGACCATAGTAACCATTTGGACATGCTGTTGACATGAAAGATTTATAACTTTATATATTAATCTCTGTGGATCACTGTGGACCTAAAATGAAATAATGCATTTCATTAAAGACAAAATTAAATTAAACACATAGACATTCATAAATCTAGCTATAATTTTAGGTACGTTTTTTTCCCGAAAATAACTTCCATTGAATTCTCGAGTCGAAACAGAAACCTAACGTTATGTATAAGAGTTCAATTTGAAGAACACTAATTGTAGATCATAGATGCCAAACATAAACAATATTTAGTCAGCTGTTTGTCGGCATCGATCTGAAAACACAGAAACACTCTTCAATGATCTGAACATCACAAATGGATGTTTATTTATCATAAATCATTATCTAATATGAAATACATTATAGCTGGACAAAGAGAACATGTTGACATATTGAATTATTTGTGTAATATGTCACTGCATGTATAAATATTGTTGATTCTTTCGTTGAACATATGTGTCCATCCTGCAGCACATCCTCTAGGACATGTTCCTGTTGATTTGTTACACACATCCAGACAGTTTCAACACTGGGACGCATAGCTGATACCATATTTCGCATCGTGCCATGATGTGCAGAGAAAACCGACCAGTTTGACATTAACATGATTATGTGTAAATGACAACGAGATGATTGATACATAGTGTTTAACCCAAGCAAACACGTGCTGTGGTTAAATGTATCACCAATAACACCTATTCTGACGTCCACGTAGCCCCAGATTTCACCACAAGGACTGGAGGATGAATTGGATAGTATGACCCGCAAAATCTAACAACCATCAGAAACGAACATCTAGCAATTTGGTACAGTGTTTCCGTTGAAAACGCATATGACAAGCTATGTATTTTCACTTGGATCATTGCTGTGGGGACAATAACGAAAAGAACTCTTGTATGAAACGTTTTTTGAAGAAGGCTTTGGATCCCAAAATTCAACTTGCCACTAAAGATTTCAAAGAGCACCAAACAACGCTTGCTCAAAAGTTGTTTAGTCAGGGTTAAAGCAGTCAATGGCTTATTAAAGTAAGTTGATGCGGTTTGCACGTCAAACGAAAGAAGTGTACTCACGTTGAAGACAGGTGTCAGTTAACCACCCTGCTGCACATCCCCCTGGACAGTAGCCTGTGGCCTTGTTACAATAGGCAGCGTTGCGGCAGTTTCCACACTTGGAGGTGCAGTTTCCAAAGAAACCGTCTGGACATACTGTACATGATTGTAAAGAAATCAATCGGTCAGCTGTATCATATATTAGACACAACAATTACATTAATGCAGTATATCATTTCATATTTATGATGATATATCCTAGAAACATCATAAGTACATACTAAGTAGGCAAATGTTAGCACCAAATGCCTTGCACTTACCAAATATTTCCACACTTTGGAAGTACTTATCAGAACTGGCGTAAATTAGTTAATTAGTAATGGATTATAGGCTGAACTTCATAAGGTTAAAGGGGCACATGAAGGTTAAATATCATGAAAGGGTCAGCAATAAGAAAGTGTCACTTATGGAATATACAATGCACGTTCACTTTTGTCCTTTTTCCAAGACACCGCTCCCTGCTTATTTTACTGACTTGCCACAGCAAAACAGTTTGCTCAATTGACTCAAGGTTTTGTGGATATACCTCTATGACATCATGTAAATCACAAAGAAAGATTATTATTACGCAATTCCGTGTATGTGAGGCTCGGAACCTGTACCTGATTGGCAATGTATTCCCATGTACCCTGGAGCACATCCACTTAGACACTGTCCGGTGATCTTGTCACACACTTCTGTGTTTTGTAAACAGTGACACCGTTTGTCACACTCCTCATCAAACCAGCCGTCACTGCAAACTGAATATGAACATGATAAAAACACATACATCAGAAGCCTATTAAAATCATATTTCATGATTCATGAATAACAAAACGGGAAGACAATCTGCCATTAAAATGGGATAAAGGTCTTTTCTACTTTTTCCTTACGAACGCTTATTTGGAGACCTAGTTTATGTAATGTCATTTACACAAATAACCTCGTGCGAAGGTTCTTCGATGCCGCAAGAAGTTGCTAATCGGGATATTGAACGTTTGGTCTGTCCACAATTGTCTCACCAAATACTTGAAAATGTGTAACCAGGCTAACTTCTAACTGGATATTTCTCACACATTAATCTAATTTGTGAAAGCCAGTATGAAACAAATTTGTTTAAGTGGGAGGTTAGGCACCCTACCACAGTTCAGTGGATTTGCCTCCCTTACACCGGTGATGTTGGTAATCGTAAACCAATCACGTGACGCAAGTGACTGCATCAAGCCTCTTTCCGCGTACACCAGCAAGCAGCCAAACGCGAATCTCATAGGCAACATATTATTTATCGTCTTAGTGTAATATCATATCCGTACGTTTGGTGAGAAGAACGATGTCAGGTCGGAGATCGAGGAAGCGGAAAATCCAAGCACCCAGTGAGCGGAGATCGTCGCGGAAATCGGCTCGAGTCAACAAATCAACGAATCGAAGTTCTCAGCCCGGCGATGCACACAACATGGCGTCAACTACCGTCCCCTGGTCATCGCAACCCGTCGACGCGAGGAATGGATCAGGTGATGTATTACCTCATGTTTTCAATAATGATGCACGGTTTCATGTAGTGATAGGCTTAGATATCAAAACTATCCCACTAGTACAGTCAGTAAATCACAACACACACGCTCTCGCATCTGTTGCCATTGACAACGATACCCTTTACATGCCTAATGCTAAGATTGCATGCAGTGGTGACAAAATGGTTGTTTTGTCACCTGACAATGTTGGTTCTTTCATCCCCCAACCAATAAGGGATAAAATACACAATGGGGAATATGTAGATCTGGCCACCCTCATTAAGGGATTGGATAGCAAAGTATGGATGGCACTGTCAGAGTAAACTCAATGGGTCAATTGGAAATGTCACGCCAGTCGAAGGACATACAGTCAGTGGAAGAGTGGACAACAGCCTTTATCATATTTGTCAGCATATACCTGGAGAAATTCCCCGAAAGCCAGTAGCAAATGCTTAAATATTTGCACACAATTAGATTGGCCGTCAGCAGGGGCCAGGGTTGGCAAAATTATGATAAACAGTTTAGGTTGCGCATGAATAGATCCACAGACAAGGCATGGGGCACAATCAACGCGGAATTGTGGATGTTATACATGAATGTCACTCCTCAACCTGTGAACCGCAGTTTCACAACTTTCAAGCAGCCTTCACAATCTCCAACTGCAAACACCTTAAAAGTTGTTTTTTGCTGGGATTTCAATGACCCTGGTAAATTGTGTCACAGGCAACATTGCTGTTTTCCTCATGTTTGTTATCAGCGTGGTGGGAGCCACCCATTCCCTTAGTGCCGATTAAACCAATCAGTTAGAGGATATCAACCAACCCCAGAGGTTAATACATTTCAGTTTCGCAACAGACACCTCCCAAAACGTGCAAGCATTGGGCCACTCACCTATCAAAGTAGATAAGCTATTGGCATACCCGGAGTCTACCCTACCCTAATTTTCCACCTTATTGCAGTGGATAGTTCAAACAAAGTTAAATTCTCAAGGTGAGTTAATGCAAAACTCGGATGACAACCCATGCGGAGGATCTGGAAGAGATAAGTCTGAATGTCAGTTAGTCCTGTCAACATTATTAGCAACTTGCGACCAACTCGGAATCCCTATAGCCAGTCACAAGACAGTAACACCAACAACATTAATCAGCTTCCATGGATTTCAGCTGGACACAGTCAGAATGGAGTTAACCATACCAGCAGACAAAATACAGGATGCTAACGATAAACTCAGATTTGTCATGTCAAAATCCACAGCAACCAAACAGGAAGTCGAAAGTCTCATTGGTTCACTAAATTACATAGGTAGGCCTATTTCCATCGGCAGGGGCTTCCTACGGAGATCCATTGATTAGATTTGTGGTATAAGAAGCCCCATCATAAATATAGCGTTACAAGGAATTTGAAAGATGATTTTCAGATTTGGCTTTCATTCCTGGACAATCATAATGGAACGTCATTATTCCTGGATAAATGCTGGATTACCAATGAAGCATTACACCTCTACACAGACAGTGCATCAGGAGAGTCATGTGGGTTTGGAGCGTACATTCCTTTGCTTTAATTCAAGCATCAGTCTCGAGCAATACTCAACACACCTATGCATCTGCATTAAGGTCATTTGACAAATGATTTGGCCTGTGCCGGTAGATGATATTTTATGTTACATAGCCAGTATGAATAGGAAGGAAGGAACTATAGTTCAACATCTCTCAGCTCTTGGCAGACATCACAAAATTAATAGCTGATCTGATCCTACTGTAAACTTTTTAGTTCGCAAATGCATGCAGGGATACAGAAATACAGCAGCTCTGGTGTCGACGCCTGATGCAAAACACCCAATCAAAATTGACATGTTGAAGAGGCTGCCTAGTGCCCTCCATGCTATTTGTACATCAGGTTACGAAACTTGTTTATTTACTGCCATGTTTAACTTGGCATTTTTTGCAATCCTACAGATTGGTGAGATAGCGCATGTGACCAAGATGAATCAGGACAACACTTTTAAACTGGCAAATGTCGGTATCATTGCAAAGGCAGTGCACGCTAAGATTTGCTTTTCAAAGAATGATCAACATGGCAAAGGCACAACTCTGATAATCCCTGCTAAGTCTGATCCTACAATTTGCCCAGTCAGGTCATTAAGTGCATATCTGTCTTTACGCTCAGCCCAACCAGGCCAGTTCTTCATCCATATGAATGGTAAAGCCGCCACCAGATATAAGTTCTCCGCAGTATTCCGGAAAGCCTTACAGTTCCTCAACTTTCACATACAAAACTACAACACACACTCTTTCAGGATTGGAGCCGCTGCATATGCAGCAACACAGGGAATACCACTTGAGCTACTGCACATGGGGCAGATGGAAATCTGCTGCATACGCTTAGAACATTCTCATCAATATGTTGTAACAACTCATTTTTGACAGAAATATGGCTTGTCGGCTCCAGCCTTATCTACTGAGCTCACCGGAGAGCAGTTGCAAGGCCAATGGGATTGGACCTGGGTCTGCAGAAGTATGGACTCAGCTTAACATGGTACGGGAGTAGGGAAATGAAGTGGAAATCATTGTTGCCATTTCTACAGCAAAAACTAAGGCTCAGTCCTCCACCAACATGACTCCTCCTTCATTTGGGAGGTAACGAACTTGGGGACGTGCCAACGACAGTATTATTACTAACTGTGAGACGGGATCTTACAAAAATTCATCACATGATGCCCCTCACACAAGTCATATGGTCAGATGTTCTGCAGAGGGTCACATGGCGGGGTATACCAGACGGTAGAGTAATGGAGTGCAAGAGGAAAAGATTTAATAGATTTGGTAGGAAAGGTGTACTAGACCTTGGAGACCGCGTTCTCGGGCACAATGAAATTAACATAGCAGACATGGGTTTGTTCAGACAGGATTGTGTCCACCTGTCGGGCAATGAGATTTTCGTGAACGCATTGCAGGGGGGTCTTGAGTTATTTGCGGTTTTGTCCTCATCCAGGCGTTCATTTCAAAACTAGTGTCGTTTGTATTCAGTCCTTATGCTAAATCCTCAGGGGAATGAGCTTGCTATAAACCAAGCTCGTGGCAGGCAACTAAATTTTCTCATTAACAGTCATTAACTGTAAGTAAGTTCAGCTTCAACATGCTAACTGCACCTCATGTAGTGTACCCAAACCACAGAGGATGACAGTGTATGTAATGACACAGGATGGCCTGCAGCTCATGCCTCACGTTGTGTTTAGCCACAGAGGATGAACTGAACTGTCATCTCTATTCCGGCCCATTTGGTAATGTGTATATTCCGGCCCATTTGGTCATGATGTTTATATTCCGGCCCATTTGGTCATGGTTTGGTAGTTACTCCATTGCGTCACGATGTGTACCCAGCTTAACCTCGGACGCAAGCAATGTAACTGCATTTCTGTGTACTGTGTAACACTGCTTGTCGCGACTTCCGCCTGTATTGTTATGTAATAAAACTGCGCCCGTGTTTTGACACTGAAGCATCGTGTTATCTTTTGTATTCTTTCATTCACACTTAAACATGCTGTGATACTACTTAATAATTATCCCAAGCAACGTTAAACCCCATATGTTTCGCTCACACGATCAATGGTGTAATTAAACCTACCAAATATCTGCACCTCGCATAGCGTGAGAAAAATGCTTGTCTGTATGGTGAGTGTGTTTCCTGTCAGTGGTTGTTGACATCTGACGTCAGCTATAGCAGGCGGATACATAGTGGTTTGCCACTGGTCGCATAGCTGTTCACCGACGAATATCTTCATGCCTTGGTTTCTCTCTGGATCGGCTTCAATGGGAAAATGTGCAATGCTTTGAGGGTCAGGTGTTGTTTAATCACCAGATCGTTTAGCGCCATATTAAATGGAACAGCAAACTCTGTCATGCACGAACACAATTCCTAAAAGACATACAATGTTACCTGAGATATGAATGACCATACCCGATGACCCCAACGTAGCTATACTGACCTGATAATAAGCAGTACAAGGAACATACGCCATCGATACATTTAATTTTGTTAATAACTTTTTTTTATGTGAAGTTATGTGTTGTTCAACATGCTACATTTTATTGATCAGTTTCGTATGAAATGAAAATATTGATATTTTGCTACGAATACTCACTGTCATTACGTAGATACAGCTTGATGCGTTGTATCCTGTCTGTGTTGGAGGTGTTCAGGTACACTGTCCATGTTTGGACTCCCCCGTTTGTATGTGTACATGTCAATGGTTTACTATAGAAGTCGTTGGTAGCTCTGCCATCTACAGCATATTTGGCCTCGAAACGGTGTGATTTATTCCCTGTCAGTTGATTGTTTTCTCTGTATGTACTGCTCTGGTTGGCACTTCTTCCTAAAGCAATATTTTCTGAAGAGAGAGAAACCATGTGCAACAACATGTACACATCAGAAATGGTGGACACAGTGCCAGAAGGTTCATGTGTGGCCGTGCACATTATTATAACACTTATAAAGATGCTACAGATCCAACAAGGACAATGATTTCTCCAGTGATTGGTTAAATTTAAACCGGAACGGGTACAATCACCTTGCTCGTGTACTGGTCTGCATAACAGGAAGGCAAAGACAAATGCAAATCCCGAAAACTCACGTCTCTGGCAGTAGGAACCAAACCATCCCTGTTGACATCTGTCTTGACTGCCGACCTGGCTACAGGGTGTAGACGGGAACAGGGAACAGGCAGTCACAGTGTCACAGTGGCACTCGGCATCTAAAGAGATGTTTCGTATTTTGTACAATGTAGAGACTATTTCATATCAAAGAAACAGGAGAGAATGGAGAGGGAATAGATGTTTTTCGTGATCCTGTCAGTGTACGAATATCTACATTTACACATAAAATAGATAATTGATAATGTAGATGTAGATTCACCTTCCTTTTTCATATCAAGACTACCCAGCCAGGGTGACAATTACCATATAAAACATAGCATTACATGCATAGTTGATACGAAAGATAATATGTAAATAACATCATTAAACATTATACCTACCAGTGAGTGTCCCAGTCATGGAGATCAACAGCACCCCAGACAATAACCATGCCATTTCGTCTCAGGTCTGTGTATTGGGAGAATGGTAAAACGAAATAGAGACTTGCGTTCATTCTACAACTATTCATATTTCATTTACCGACATGCATGAATACAAACCACACATACTTATAGAGGACATGCTACGTGCCTATAACACATTCTACTTTCAACTGGGAAGACCTTTGTAGCTGGGAATCTCACAAATATTTACTTACTGCCAAATTTCCCATTAAGCGAATATCTTGCCAAGCTTGCCCTGACATTTGTTACAACCATGTTTCTCGATCCCATCGAAACAATGTCTCAGTAAAAACTAACCTGCCGGAAACATTATAAATGTACATGACTTTGGGTGCCTGGAGCAAGTTCTACCTGTCGAGAGGGTCTAGAACAGGCCTATAACATATCTCTATGCCGGAAACGTTCACCCAGTTTCCGTGTGGTGAGATATTAGCACATTTGGACAGTATGAACATATTCAGTTAGGTGGAAAACTCATAGAAAAGAAGTATGGTTCACAACGTTGTGGGTTTCAATTTTAACAATATCTGCATGTTTTCATGTGCAAATCTATTTCATTATAAAATGAAATTGCAATATTATAGCTGTTACTTTGAAAAGATTAAATTATGAAAAAGTATTGATAACCTTTACCACTGTAGATACATCAATGTCAACAGTACCATGTTGTTTTTTTCATAATGTTTGTTTTTAACTCTTATATCACATACATATTTCATTTTAAATGTGCCATATTCTCATTCCTGCTTCTAAAGGTACCACATGTAAATTACAATTAGTTTCATCTTCTGATACAAGATGTTTTTCATGTTTTGAACTAAGAATAATTATTATTTTTACCTCAACATTTATGCGACCTATAACTTAAAACTCATTCATGGATTCTTTTAGAACTGGGGATACACATTATCTACCAAACGAAGAGGTGCAGTTCAAAGTTTGATGTCGATAAGTGTATTTTCTGAAACAATATTGCATTTTGCATGTTTTGAACTTAGAAATAAGTGTCGGTTCGGGGTATTAGTGAGCCCTGTTCACCTTTGGCCTTGTATATTTTTTAGATATATATATGACGAACTGTATTCTTTTGATACTTTAATATAAACTGCAAGGAAATGGCACTTTATGTTTTTTCCTTCAATTCGAGACATTCATTTCCTTTTCAGTAAAACAGGGGCTGGTTTTGATTAATTTCAGACTCCCGCATCCCTCTCCCACCCATCTCTAAGGTTGTATGTTATGTTTGTCCCGTCGGATCGTGGTACTAGATGTCAAAAGTATGACGGTGTGTCATATTGTAATATATTTTAAAAAATAAACACAATTTGCGTTTTCTCCTTAAACATGAAAAGGTCCGGTAGCGATCCCTGTGGTACACAAGCTGTTACTTTAGTGTCAGAGAGATTGTTAGCGAATTGTTAAGAAATCAGTCAGCCACTCCAGTTATCGTTAACTTTCAATTTATAAATAAGCCAACAATGCCATAATGACTGCATGGATCGGCAAAATCAAAACAAAGCATTTGAACTATAGCTTCAGGTATACCGACGGTCTGTTGTCGTGGTATAACTGTCAAATATCCAATTTCAACTGATTTACCCGTCTGAATCTGAAATAAAAGACACCAGTGAAACTGGCTCAGCACTTTGATATTTTGATCCATGCATAAAGATTCAGAGTGACAAAACACTATCGACAAGTATGTATGACAAGAGGGATGACATTAAATTTCTGATAGTAAGCTTTCATTTTATGTCAGGCAATATTCCAGCCTTTGGTGTCTTGATTTGACATTCGTTTAGGTACAGCTGAGAAGGCCCTTTCTGTGACGGTTCAAAGAGCGTCACACGCGTCGTACGTCTCTTGCTCCAAAGTTGTTTGATCAGGGTTACAACTTGAAAGGCTTAAGTTTTCTATGTGTTTTGTGGTAGACATGTGCGGGGCATTTCCAAATTTGACACAGCAATGCCAAAATGATGTCCGTTACAATTCCGCATTATAAATGGCACCACATGTTCTCTTGTGTTTCAGGTGAATGATTAACTTGCATTTGCATGTGTTTGTGACGGTGCCATGAGTGGGGCAGTGTTGTGTATCTCAAACCGATTCGTAGGTTTCAGCATATAACAGTTAACAGTTCAAGCAGTGATCAAAAACATAGAGCGAAGCATTCTCAGGAATGGTTTTACGAGGAAACATGTTACACTCATGTAATAACCCAGATGGAATCCGGATATGAACCCAATTGAAAATATTTGGGGAATCGTGAAGGACAATATCGATCACTGAAGTGTCAAGACCTATATCTGATATGAAAACAGAGCTGGTGAGATATTGGGAAAGCATGACTCTTGCTTTTCTAACTTCCTTGACAGGCAGAATGCCTCGCCACATTAAAACCTGTATTTGGAAGAGTGGTTGTCTGACAAAATATTGAAAAGTAGCTGTTTTTGTTGCTTTGGGTAAGCAGTGTTTTCTTGGAAAAAAACATGTATCTTGGTCTATGACATAATACATCTATAATTTATATTCTCAATCATTTCTCGCCAAACTATAACAATATTTTGTGTACATAATCACATACAACTGAGTAATATGCAAGTTATCGGATATCATCGCAGACAGGATCTACATGTTAATCACATGAGGAGATAAAACTCCCATATATACCAGAAGTGAGGCGTGGTGAAAAGGGGATTTCATCTCCCGTTCGAGATAATTGAATTTATATGGCACGCGCGTGCGTGCGTTTGCGTGTGTGTGTGTGTGTGTGTGTGTGTGTGTGTGTGTGTGTGTGTGTGTGTGTGTGTGTGTGTGTGTGCGTGCGCGCGTGCGTGTGTGTGTGTGTGTGTGTGTTTGTTTGTGTTTGTGTTTGTGTTTGTGTGTGTGTGTGTGGCTGCTTGTACTAGACCGGACTAATGCCGATTTTATAGTGCTTGCCCACTGAGATACGATGCCTCAGTTGAACAATATACAATAAACCAAGCAGACACAGTATACTGACTCCGAGCCGACCAGTCCTTGTTTTAGCACCTTAATGCCGAGCGCCAGACAGGGTCTCAACAACCACCATCTGTTCATGTCTTTTGGTATGACCCATCCGGGGATCGAACACCCGACCCTCCGCCTTCCGGGCAGCCGCTCCACCACTAAACCACGGAGGCAGTCACCAGCAAGTGAACTGAATCATATGATCGAGGAATTGTGTTTGTGACTTCCCTGCATGATCTGTGCAAACATTGTTTGCTTTTGGCTTGATTGTTAGATAGTCTCTCTAGGGTACACATGTTATCAGGTATTTTAATGATAATCATTGTGTGAGCTTTTTTTCACACAGAATAAAGGTTACAATCTTTTTTTTATTATGTTATCTCCCGTTGCCGCAAATAACACATATATCGGTGTATATGGATATTGTAGTGGAGGCATCAAAAATAGCTCTGAACACGAGTCATTGAATGGAGGTTTGCTAGCCAGGGTTACTACCTTACGGGGTGGTCCTGTCCTGTGCACTTGTGGAGATGTTTTCATACAAGATTGACATTCTGAATCTGAACATCGGCACACGTAAGCTGACAGTGTACAGTCCGTATACTAGTTGACCTAATCAAATTTTACGATTAAAAACCATTAAAATGCCCCGTGCGTTGACGTTCTGTTTGCATTTGAACTGTCAGTGTTATTGCTGGTGGACTGAAAAAATCTTTATCATACACTCACTTTTTCTGCGTCAGTCAGTGTGTTGCAAAGTGAAGATGTTTCGTTATTACGAATGCAATGGTGGGTGCTGCCGGTAACAGGGCGTGCTTATCCTTTTGCTGAACACCGTTTCTCATTTGTAGTGGTCCATCAATGTAATTTTCGCAGCTATGATGTATGATACGTTTATCAATAATACATGTAAATATTATGTACAAAATCTTATTTCAGTATTTTATGGACACTTGTTTCACTTGCATTTTAAAATTTTGCTACAGTTTATTATGGACTTGTTCGAAACTTACATCTTTTCTACGGTCTCATCAATAATATGTGAACGCTTCTAACGACACCATACTCAATCAGCAGTTTAAAAACATAAATTGTTCATTAACATGCTCTTCTGAGATTGTAGGTTTTACTTAGAATGCTGAGGAGATGTGATGTGTTTGTTTGTTTGTTTACGCCACTCTTAGGTCACCGAGTCACCGAGTCTGACTACCCGATCCCTTTAGTCGCCTCTTACGAAATGTGATTTGCCCCAGGACACCACACAAAGGAACAAGACGATGTCCCATGCAAGCGCAGATTTAGACTTAGATTTATTCAATATCTGATGTATCTTTCTGTGTTACATTATTTCACAATTTAACAACATCAAATCTTGGTGCATCTTGAATACTTGTTTGTATTTTTTGTAATGCGAAGTTATCCGAGGAATTCTTGCACCCATAAAAAACATATTATAATGAGGCAAACAGTTACTCCAGGTCAAATGTGACCTCTGAAGCCATCATTACAAGGATTGAATGATGATCAATGTGTATGCTTACAACGTCTATAACATTATTTCTGCTTCATATCTCACTGTTTATTGTTCTATTCTAGCAATCCCAATGAAATTAGAACTGCACAAATGTGGAGATTGTAGATACTATCCCAGTGTTATTGGTTTTCGCTTAAGAAACATTCATAGTTGTCTCTCTGAACGATTTTGGATATTGACTTGTCGCTACACAGAGCTGAAGACTGTCCCACAGAGTTTCGTAATAGATACCCGATTCGGAACACACCGCAATTACAATCCTGAAATAGAAGCTGTTATGTTTATGTTTGTAGAGCACAACACAGACTGTTACACACAAGTGATTTCTCGGCTGTGGTGAATCGTATAACAAAAATACACTGTTATAGTGGGAGACTCGTGAGTTGTCCACAAAAAACATACAATTATACGCTGTTTACACTCATGCTGTTTGAAGCAATAGTTTGAAATATGTATATAGATATACTCATGTGTATAACGAGAAAGGAAGATAAATATTAAACAAACGGGTATCCACAAATACCTATGCCTGTCAAAACAATTCACCGTGCCCTGCATACTAAAATAGACTCATAACGAACATAGATAACCCAACGTCCAGTCTCTCAAACGTCAGACGCGTTACAACTACAGTCAGCGAAACGATAATAGCCATGTCATAGTTCATCTCCCTTTAAAACGTACGGTATCGATCACAAATGTATAACATCATGGTAATAAAAGGTACACTATAGAAATCGAGGTGAAACGTTTGATACGCTTGTAGGACACTATAATACTCACCTGTGTGTTCCCACAAAGGAGCAATACAATGAAACACAACCAGGAAGAAAGTTATAGAGTTTTGTAATGGACAATGGCCCAGGGCATGTTTGCATTGACTGATATTTTGTTCAAATTAATATTACATCCTGGATTCCTAGTTTATTTTTTAAAAGTTTTTTTATATGTTATTTATGTGAATCAAAAGGTTTCTGCTGGATTCGCTCTGCTAAGCATATCATTGGTATATAGAAAATCGTCAACTGGTAAACACTGGTGAAAAGTAAAAGCAAGAAAACAAACACAAATGACACTTGATTGTTATGAAGTATATTCTGTGGTCATGAACGATAGTGTGACTTCAAGAGACTTTTAAAGAAAGAAGTGTTGGTTAAGGTATAGTATTAATATTAAGGTCTGTCTCTATCAGAATCTGGATCCAGATCTGGATTCCTAAATACACATACGGCTTCATCCTCCACGATATGAGATTAATTAACGAATTTCATCGAGACTACCTTTTTGCATAAAAAAGTGTAACCTATCGAGTGTCTGGCTCACGTTGAGGTCTGTCAAAACTCTGCCACCTCCATCTCATGTATTGTAATATAATGAGTGTGTGTGTGTGTGTGTGTGTGTGTTTAGTTTAAAGGAATAAACGCCAGGAATGATGCAGGTTAATACAGGTACAAGCCATGAGCAAAGTAAATTGCTGACCCGAATCATAATCAGGGTGTAACTGGGATTGGGAAGTACAGTGTCTCAGGCGGAAGGGAAATCGTGCCTTCTCATTCATATCACGAGGGCACAGAAACTCAACTATGATGAATTTTTCGCTGACATGTTATAATAAAAACGTATTCATTTATGTTTATATTAAATAACAGCAAACGCCTGATTCAATTTGAGGTCGTTTTATTACTCTAGTAGTTTAACCTAGTGGTTAAAGCGTTCGCTCGTCACACCGAAGACCCGGGTTCGATTCCCGACATGGGTACAATGTGTGAAGCCCATTTCTGGTGTCCCCCGACGTGATATTGCTGGAATATTGCTAAAAGCGGAGTAAAACCATACTCACTCACTCACTCACTCACTAATTACTCTGCCCTGCACATATTAAAGTGTGTTATACATTCATGTTGCGAAGCGTAGATCTTCCGCTTGACTGCATACGTGTCAGCTAGCCTGGCGAGAACCTCATACCTGCTCCTTTCGCCGTCGTATTGTGACTTTATCACAATGGGAGTAGAGCCTTGGGTGGCTGGTTGAGATAAATGATGGAGGGTGATGTGACAAAATAGCATTGAGATACTTTCTTTGACAGCTGTGAAGGAAGACTGCTGTTACAATATGGACATATGTTGCAAACACGTACACTAATAAGCACATTTTGTTAGGTTTCATCGCCCTGGTTGATTTGAGTCAGATTATGGGAATGCGTGAAGTGGCAGACATATGATGTCAGTGATCCGCAGGGATCAATGTATAAAATGGACACTGTGCATGCTTGGGGCGATAACAATATTTGTGACAAGTAAGCTCCTTTAAAGCAGGACACTAGGCAACATGTACACCTTTCAGTAATGTGGACGGCACTGCCACCTACAGTGACGACTGCTACAGAGCCTACTGTGCATGTCACGGACTACCGTTTACGTGAAAAAAATATATGTTCAAAGACTGTATAACGTCAATCAAATTACATTATAAATTCATGTATTCCTTGCTTGCTTGTTTGTTTGTTTTAACGCCGCACACAGCAATGTTCGAGCTGTATAATGGCGGTCTGTAAATAATCGAATCTGGACCAGACAATCCAGTGATTAACATCATGAGCATCGATCCACACAATTGGGATATGATGACATGCATCAACCAAGTCAGCGAGTCTGACCATCCGATCCAGTTGGTCGCTCTTTACGACAAGCATAGTCGCCTTTTACGGCAAGCATCTGTTGCTGAAGATCTATTCTGTCTTGAATCTTCACGGGTCATTCATGAATTCATTAAGATACCATTTTGATAGTATTTTGATTTGCGTCCGATTTATCACCACAATCCTTGCTAGTAAAACGATCAGGTATAAACATAATTGCGATGTTTAGATGCTTGTACGCCATGAATAGTTTTAGATCGATGTTATCGGGCAACATCACACGAAGGACCTTTTGTTATCACTGGTGTAGTTTCTAGTTATATATTAAATGCTTTGGGCAAGGGAAGTTAATTGCGTGACAATGGATCAGTATATTTTTCTTTTAACACATTTGTTTGTTCGTCTGTTGTTTAATGCCGCACTCAGCAATATTCCAGCCATATGACGGCGATCTGTAAATAATCGAGTCTGGATCAGATAATTCAGTGAATGACATCAAGGGCATCGATCCTCTCAATTGGATACGATGACATGCATCAACCAATTCAGCGAGCCTGACCACCCGATCCCGTTAGTCGCCTCTTACAACATACAACATATCATCAAAACCTAATTCTTAACGTGTTTTGAAAGTGCTTAATGTGTATGCTTAATGGCGATCACAGCTTAAAAGGACAGAACCTGTTTTATAATATGTTCTAGATTTTATTTATTGACCCCAGCAGCTACCAGGCGTCCAGTTCCACACCCTCTGCGCATTTAATAAACAGAACTAAGTCTACAAATTTTCCACCATTTTAATACATTTGTTTTCTTGACAAATAATATCGAGTAACTTGACAAAGTTGATATTTTCAGGATTGGTTCAGGTAACGAGGTGAACTTGTTAATTGACAAGATAAGCCAAATGTCATATTTGTACAAGGAGTCAAACAGGCAAACTAAAAGTAGTTAATGCGAAAATATGATTTCACTCAGATAAATACAATTCTAAATTTCTACATGAATAATAAAAATGGTACATGAATTTTACATTCACACTAGGCTTATAGTGACAATGGTCAAGTATATTTCTATTGCAAATTAAAAGTTGGCGTGGATTAGAACGTCATATGGAAGCAGTATGCAGGTTGTGGTTTGAACGTCAGTCTAACTGGAAGGGTCGTGGCAGCTGTTCGATAGAAAACAGCAGGGTTAAATGACATACTCATTCTCACTGGTCAGGCTGCTGGACCGCAGTTTCAAATGAGAAAATGTTTCAGTTATACACGTGACATGTAATAGTGCATGTGGATACGTGTATCATACAAATCAAGATCATGTGAATTGGAAATACATGAATATGTCATGACATATGCTATTGACCTGCACAGGAGATGACTTTACAGATGTATCAATAATGTTCATGCGTATACTGCAGCTGGTAAATATAAAACATCATGATCAATAAGAGAATAACCAGTTTTGATTATCCGTCAAAAAAGATTCCATTTTGGCGCAAAAAAAGCCGTGCAATTTATGTGGATTGACAACTGAAAATCAGCGATGGCTCCACGAGAATTTGTAGCACTACTAAAGCTATATATTTCCACATAAAGAAGTCAGTTCTCACATCCGTCTGTTGTGTTTGTTTTGATTAAATATATTTGTTTTTGATTACAAAGAGATATACAAAAGTTGAAAAATGATTTGTGAGTACTTGTGAATAGCTAGCGAAATATACCATGGTTATGTACTGACAAAGCAGGCAACGTTGGTGTCTTAGACATTAATACAATGATGCCAGTGCAATATGACCATACATGTACATGTATGTCAAAAAGCTATATGGCAGCGTTGGGATGTATGTGAAATTATAGATAGGTGAGCTATCAACCAAACGCTTTATCCGCGAACGATTATTCGACGGAAATCGCTTCAAATGATTTCTATAAAAGGTCAGATATCCAATTCCACAATATTCCCACGCTAAGCTGTCTTCGTAAGTCTTTCTTAGATAATGAAGCATTCGATAGGATATGGCACGATGGATTATTTTACAAACTACATAAAAGGTAATACTCTTTTTCTCTCCCCACTTTGGATCGTTTTGGTGAACTTTCACCAAGACCAATTGTAAGTGAAAATGACGGACGGCGAGCCAAAAGGAACAACTAAATTCGATACCTCGCAGCATAACGTCGTGCGTCAAATCCAATGGCAGGACGCGTGTCTAAAGGTGTCAAGGTGACCGATACGTCAACCCACGTGTTCTTGAATGCAATCGGCGTTATGATGTGGGGTAGAATAACTGCTAAAAAAGGGACTCAAGTGCTTGTGATTGATAGGCATTGAATACTTTGAGATGCTGGGGTGAGATTTGTAAACGACCGATTTAACGTTATTTCAGCACAACGGCAATCCCGACATTGCATCATGATAACGCCGGACTATATGTTGCTTGAGTTGTATAGTAGTTAGTGACCAAACGAGAAAAAAGATGTTGACCCCACCCAGAACAATGTTGTTAAAAAGAATCTGCTCAATATTAATCTACAACAAGGCAGTTCTTTTGATGCAACTGATTGTGATCAGTTCAAATTCGGACCTACTGGTCTTCGCCTGCATTAGCATAAGGAGTGGTGCTGTCAATGTGTTCATATGTGTTTTCCATAACTGGATCCTTGGTCTTCTCGTCAAGAGATATGTAGTTATCTTCAGGCTTCTTCTGTAAAGCATCCAGTTGACACTTCAGTCTGAAATATACAGCAATAAGCTGGTATGAATGCAAAGTAAAACAATAATGAACGACGTATCATCAATATGATAAACAGAATCTGTAAGTTAGAGTTTCTAATGTACAATCATTCACACGGAACCAGTTGCTATTGCTCAATATTATGAACCCTCTTTTCATGTTCATGATATTTTATCTTTTACACATTACACGATCCCTACCTTCTGTTGTAAAAGATGGACGTCAACAGAGCGATGACAGCCAAGACGAGAAGTGTACCGAGTGTTGCTACAACTTGCGCTTCCCGGCTTAAACATCCTGGTGTTGCTGGACACACTGTACAACATTGTTTGTGAAGACAAGTAAATGATTCATATTCCTTAATAAATTGTGTAGTGTTTACAATGCCTTGATAGACCTTACTAAGTTCCTTTCAAAAAGAAGAATTGACTAAACAAACTAGTTTTATAATATTGATTAACCGACAGGATGACAGTAAATATATTTTATTACTTTTCCTAATGAATTTAGTTTCCTACCTTGACACAGGGGCTTCATTAAGTTGCCCTGACATCCTTCAGGACACTCCCCACTGGACTTATTACAGGTCAGGGCGTCTTTACACTGACCACATCGGGACATGCAGTCATCTCCGTACATTCCATCAACGCATTCTGGCGAGTAGATTACATATTCTTTTTATCTGAATACTATATTTTTATGATATATTGGCAAGGCTGCAGCGACCAGGGAAGGGAGAGTTGTTATCATGTTCAAAGAGTGAACAATAACAGCCATCACATCGAAAATGCATCCCACCTTTACAAGTGGGTTCTTGAAACCCTGGCTGACATCCCTGATCGCATGTTCCATTGATTTTGTTACAAGGCAGGTTTCCTTTACACTGGCCACACTCAGACTGACAGTGGTGTCCGTGACGACCGTCACTGCAAGCTGAAACAAATAAGAGTTACCATTAACAAAAAGACAAAACGTTTCAGGTTTGTTTACAATAGTGAAGATCAAGGACCTACCTTGTGAACAGAGATCTGACCACCATCCAGGCTGACATCCTCTGGGACATTTCCCTGTCAACTTGTCACAGACATCAGTATCCAGACAGTGACCACACTGAGAAGCACACTTGGCACCATAACGTCCGTCCGGGCATGCTGTAGACAGTAACATGAGCAATCGCCACTGAATATAAACTCTTAGCGAGGGCAAGCTTTGATTAGGCCGTAAGTCACACAGGTACAAATGTGTACATTTTGTGAGCATGAGACATTACAAAATAAAATCATGTCAGGCACATATTGTCCATTACTCTTGATATGGACAAGTGCATGTCAACCATTTAATGCGTTCAGGTTCCTATGTACATGTAGGCGGATTTAATGATTGTTTAAAGTTTCCATTATGTTACAATAGAAGTTTTCATGTAAATTACAGGTATTGACTAAGGATACAAATGCTAAAGAGTTCGTTTCCAAACTAAAAAAGAGGTATCCATTGTTCAATTAGACTACCTCATATTACCTCAATAGGTTTATTTCATAATTGCATGTATACGCCACTTCGTTTCGTTTCTTTTGTTAAAAACGGAGATGCATTAACTCTTAGGCACATTTTCACTTATAAATTGAAACAGAACTTGGGTTGAGGAGCAGTTGTTCATGTGACACTCTCGATGCGTTATCAACGACGAATCAGTACATTTTGAATATGTCTCCTACTTTTCCTGTTGAATAGCGAAAGATAAAAACGAAATACTTTAAAACATGATCATTTCATTGTATCTTTTAATTACAGCCTGACTTACACTGATTACACCTGTCACTGATCCACCCTGCTGCACATCCTCCAGGACATGTTCCATTTGTCTTGATGCAAACATCGCCATCCAGACAGTTGCCACACTGGACGCCACAGTCCGGACCGTAGGAACCATTTGGACATGCTGTTGACATGAAAGATTTGTAACTTTATATATTAATCTCTGTGGATCACTGTGGACCTAAAATGAAATAATGCATTTCATTAATGACAAAATTAAGTTAAACACCTAAACATTCATAAACCTAACTATAATTTTAGGTACGTTTTTTTCCCGAAAATAACTTCAATTGAATTCTCGAGTCGAAACAGAAACCTAACGTAATGTATAAGAGTTAAATTTGAAGAACACTAATTGTAGATCATAGATGCCAAACATAAACAATATTAAGTCAGCTGTTTGTCGACATCGATCTGAAAACACAGAAACAGTCTTCAATGATCTGAACATCACAAATGGATGTCCATTTATCATAAATCATTATCTAATATGAAATACATTATAGCTGGACAAAGAGAACATGTTGACATATTGAATTATTTGTGTAATATGACATTGCATGTATAAATATTGTTGATTCTCTCGTTGAACATATATGTCCATCCTGCAGCACATTCTCTGGGACATGTTCCTGTTGATTTGTTACACACCTCCAGACAGTTTCAACACTGGGACGCATAGCTGATACCATATTTAGCATCTTGTCATGATGTGCAGAGAAAATGACAGACCGGCAGATAGTCAAATTTATTCGGTACTTCAGGCCACCGGCCCATAATACAATGGAAATATACTGTATATATATTTCGCAGAGAAAATGTATCACTAATAACACCGATTCTGACGTCGACGTAGCCCAGATTTCACCACAAGGATAGAAGGATGAATTGGATAGTATGACCCGCAAAATCTAACAACCATCAGAAACGAACATCTAGCAATTTGGTACACTGTTTCCGTTGAAAACGCATATGATTACCTATTTATTTTCACTTAAATCATTGCTGTGGGGACAATAACGAAAAGAACACTTGTATGAAACGTATTTTGAAGAAGGCTTTGGATCCCAAAATTCAACTTGCCAAGATTTCAAAGAGAACCAAACGACGCTTGCTCAAAAGTTGTTTAGTCAGGGTTAAAGCAGTCAATGCCTTATTAAAGTAAGTTGATGCGGAATTATTGCACGTCAAACGAAAGAAGTGTACTCACGTTGAAGACAGGTGTCAGATAACCACCCTGCTGCACATCCCCCTGGACAGTAGCCTGTGGCCTTGTTACAATAGGCAGCGTTGCGACAGTTTCCACACTTGGAGGTGCAGTTTCCATAGAAACCGTCTGGACATACTGTAATCAATCGGTCAGCTGTATCATATATTAGACACAACAATTACATAAATGCAGTATATCATTACATATTTAAGATGATATATCCTAGAAACATCATAAGTACATACTAAGTTGGCAAATGTTAGCACCAAATGCCTTGCACATACCAAATATTTCCACACTTTGGAAGTACTTATCAGAACTGGCGTAAATTAGTTCATAAGTAATGGATTATAGGCTGAACTTCATAAGGTTAAAGGGACACATGAAGGTTAAATATCATGAAATGGTCAGCAATAAGAAAGTGTTACTTATGGAATATACAATGCACGTTCACTTTTGTCCATTTTCCAAGACACTGTTCCCTGCTTATTTTATTGACTTGCCACAGCAAAACAGTTTGCTCAATTGACTCAAGGATTTGTGGATAGACATCATGTAAATCACAAAGAAAGATTATTATTACGCAATTCCGTGTATGTGAGGCTCGGAACCTGTACCTGATTGGCAATGTATTCCCATGTACCCTGGAGCACATCCACTTAGACACTGTCCAGTGATCTTGTCACACACTTCTGTGTTTTGTAAACATTGACACTGTTTGTAACAGTCCTCATCAAACCAGCCGTCACTGCAAACTGAATATGAACATGATAAAAATACATACATCAGAAGCCTATTAAAATCACATTTTACGAACGCTTATTTGGAAGCCTAGTTTCTATAATGCCATTTACACAAATAGCTTTGGCCAGCCTCGTGCGAAAGTTCTTCGATGCCGCAAGAAGTTGCTAATCCGGGGTTTGACCGTTTGGTCTTTCAGCACTTGTCTCACCAAAAACTAAAAAACCAGGCTAACTTCTAACTGGATATATCTCACACATTAAACATGTTATGATACTACTTAATAATTATCCCAAGCAACGTTAAAACCCAAATGTTTCGCTCACACGATCAATGGTGTATAGTAACCTACCAAATATCTGCACCTCGCATAGCGTGAGATAATCACTTGTCTGTATAGTGAGTGTGTTTCCTGTCAGTGGTTGTTGACATCTGACGTCAGTTGTAGAATCCGGATAGGTATTGATTGGCCACTGGGTGCAAAGCTGTCCACCGACGAATATCTTCATGCCCTTGTTTCTTTCTTGATCTGCATTTCAATTGGAAAATGTGCAGTGCTTTGAGGGTCAGGTGTTCATAAATCACTAGATCGATTTGCGCCATATTAAATGGTACAGCAAAATCTGGCATGCACGAACACAATTCCTAAAAGACACATACAATGTTACCTGAGATATGGATGACCAGGCCTGAAGACCCCAACGTAGCTATACTGACCTGTTATTAAGCAGTACAAGGAACATACGCCAGCGATACATTTAATTTTGTTAATAATTTTTTTATGTGAAGTTACGTGTTGTTCAACATGCTACATTTTATTGATAAGTTTCGTATGAAATGAAAATAATGATATTTTGCTACTAATACTCACTGTCATTACGTAGATACAGCCTGATGCGTTGTATCTGGTCTGTGTTGGAGGTGTCCAGGTACACTGTCCATGTGTGGACTCCCCCGTTTGTATGTGTACATGTCAGTGGTTTACTATAGAAGTCGTTGGTAGCTCTGCCATCTACAGCATATTTGGCCTCGAAATAGTGTGATTTATTCCCTGTCCGGTAACTGTTTTCAACGTATGTACTGCTCTGGTTGGCACTTCTTCCTAAAGCAATATTTTCTGAAGAGAGAGAAACCATGTACAACAACATATACACATCAGAGATGGTGGAAACAGTGCCATAAGGTTCATGTGTGGCCGTACACATTATTATAACACTTAAAAAGATGCTACAGATCCAACAAGGACAATGATTTCTCCAGTGATTGGTTACATTTAAACCGGAACGGGTACAATCACCTTGCTCCTGTACTGGTCTGCATAACAGGAAGTAAAAACAAATACTAACGCCGAATACTCACGTCTCTGGCAGTAGGAACCAAACCATCCCCGTTGACATCTGTCTGGACTGCCGACCTGGCTACAGGGAGTAGATGGGAACAGGGAACAGGCAGTCACAGTGTCACAATGGCACTCGGCATCTAAAGAGATGTTGTTGTTTTTGTACAATGTAGAGACTTTTACATATCAAAGAGACAGGAGAGAATGGAGAGGGAATAGATGTTTTTCGTGATCCTGTCGGTGTACGAATATCTACTTTTACACATAAAATAGACAATTGATAATGTAGATGTAGATTCACCTTCCTACTTCATATCAAGACTACCCAGCCAGGGTGACAATTACCATATAAAACATAGCATTACATGCATAGTTGATACGAAAGATAATATGTAAATAACATCATTAAACATTATACCTACCAGTGAGTGTCCCAGTGATGGAGATCAACAGCACCCCAGACAATAACCATGCCATTTCGTCCCAGGTCTGTGTATTGGGAGAATGATAACACGAAATAGAGACTTGCGTTCATTCTACAACTATTCATATTTCATTTACCGACATGCATGAATATCAACCACACATACTTATAGAGGACATGCTATGTGCCTATAACACGTTCTACTTTCAACTGGGACGACCTTTGTAGCTGGGAATCTCACAAATATTTACTTATTGGCAAATTTCCCATTAAGCGAATATCCTGCCAAGCTTGCCCTGACATTTGATACAACCATGTTTCTCGATCCCATCGAAACAATGTCTCAGTAAAATATAACCTGCCAGAAACATTATAAATGTACAAGACTTTGAATGCCTGGAGCAAGTTCTAGAACAGGCCTATAACATATATCTATGCCGGAAACGTTCACCCAGTTTCCGTGTGGCGAGATATTAGCACATTTGGACAGTATGAACATGTTCAGTTAGGGGGAAAACTCTCATAGAAAAGAAGTATGGTTCACAACGTTGTGGGTTTCAATTTTAACAATATCTGCATGTTTTCATGTGCAAATCTACTTCATTATAAAATGAAATTGCAATATTATAGCTGTTACTTTGAAAAGATTAAATCATGAAAAAGTATTAATAACCTTTACTACTGTAGATACATCAATGTCAACAGTACCATGTTGTTGTTTTTCATAATGTGTGATTTTCATAATGTTTGTTTTAACTGTTATATTACATACATATTTCATTTTAAATGTGCCATATTCTCATTCCTGCTTCTGAAGGTACCACCTGTAAATTACAATTAGTTTTATCTTCTGATACAAGATGTTTTTAATGTTTTGAACTAAGAATTATTTTTACCTCAACATTTATCGACCTATAATTTATAACTCATTCGTGGATTCTTTTAGAATTGGGGATACACATTATCTACCAAACGAAGAGGTGCAGTTCAAAGTTTGATGTCGATAAGTGTATTTTCTGAAACAATATTGCATTTTTCATGTTTTGAACTTAGAAATAAGTGTCGGTTGGGGGTATTAGTAAGCCCTGTTCACCTTTGGCCTTGTATATTTTTTAGAAATATATATGACGAACTGTATTCTTTTGACACTTTAATATAAACTGCAAGGAAATGGCACTTTATGTTTTTTCCTACAATTCGAGACATTCATTTCCTTTTCAGTAAAACAGGGGCTGGGTTTGATTAATTTTAGACTCCCGCATCCCTCTCCCACCCATCTCTAAGGTTGTATGTTATGTTTGTCCCGTCGGATCGAGGTACTAGATGTCAAAAGTATGACGGTGTGTCATATTGTAATATATTTTTTAAAATATACACAATTTGCGTTTTCTCCTTAAACATGAAAAGGTCCGGAAGCGATCCTTGTGGTACACAAGCTATTACTTTAGTGTCAGACAGACTGTTAGCGAATTGTTAAGTAATCAGCCAGCCACTCCAGTAATCGTTAACTTTCAATTTATATATAAGCCAACAATGCCATAATGACTGCATGGATCGGCAAAATCAAAACAAAGCATTTGGACGTGAAGTTTAACTAAAGCTTCAGGTATACCGACGGTCTGTTGTCGTTGTATAACTGTAAAATATCCAATTTCAACTGATTTACCCGTCTGAATCTGAAGTAAAAGACACCAATGAAACTGGCTCACCACTTTGATATTTTGATCCATGCATAAAGATTCAATGACAAAACACTATCGACAAGAATGTATGACAAGAGGGATGACATTAAATTTCTGATAGTAAGCTTTAATTTTATGTCAGGCAATATTCCAGCCTTTGGTGTCTTGATTTGACATTCCTTTGGGTACAGCTGAGCATGCCCTTTCTGTGACGATTCAAAGAGCGTCACACGCGTCATACGTCTCTTGCTCCAAAGTTGTTTGATCAGGGTTACAACTTGAAAGGCTTAAGTTTGCAATGTGTTTTGTGGTAGACATGTGCGGGACATTTCCAAATTTCACACAGAAATGCCAAAATGATGTCCGTTACAATTCCGCATTATAAATGGCACCACATGTTCTCTTGTGTTTCAGGTGAATGATTAACTTGCATCTGCATGTGTTTGTGATGGTGCCATGAGTGGGGCGGCGTTGTGTATCTCAAACCGATTCGTAGGTTTCAGCATATAACAGTTACATTGAGTCATAATTCCTTTACTTACTCAAACACGTATGTACGCGACTTTAACATCTTTACATTCTGTTTTATATAGGACCACATGCATTCAAATGCCAAACATAAACACTCAGATTCATCCATCATATCTGTACAGGTTCAAACTGTATTTTCAAGTAAGATGTTTCAGGTGTACATAGCAAAGAGCTTTGGAAAAAAGAACATGATATTTCTGAATTATACAATCAAGGAATCAGATCTCAGCACAGGTTATTATAGTGAGACATTCCACTATCAACTGTGTTCCGTGTTTTGAAAAATGTTGAGAGTAAAGAGACAATAAGATCGCCCTTGCATGCAGATGAAAGTTCAGTGAGGTTATATCTAAACTGCAAAAACTTGTGAACCAAAAGTACAGAAACTTTGTGGCGTGGGGTGTATGTGTTGGGTGCCACACCATTGTGTGTATTTGAAGGTAACATTGCCAGGGCAGTGTGCATTGATATCCTCTTTCAGTAGCACAAATTTTGTGTGGTGACGGGGATGGTGGTGGTGGTGGGGGTGGGGGTGGGGGTGGGGTGGGGGGTATTCAAGCAATGATCAAAAACATAGAGCGAAGCATTCCCAGGAATGGTTTTACGAGCAAACATTTTACACTCCTGTAATAGCCCACATGGAATGCGGATATGAACCAAACTGAAAATATTTGGGGAATCGTGAAGGACAATATCAAACACTGATGTGTCAAAACATATATGTGATATGAAAACAGAGCTGGTGAGATATTGGGAAAGCATGACTCATGCCTTTCTAACTTCCTTGACAGGCAGAATGCCTCGCCGCATTAAAACCTGTATTTGGAAGAGTGGTTGTCTGACAAAATATTGAATAGTTTGCTGTTTTTGTTGCTTTAGGTTAGCAGTGTTTCCTTGGAAAAACATGTATCTTGGTCTATGACATAATACATCTATAAATTACAATGTTCTCATTCTCAATCATTTCTCGCCAAACTATAACAATGTTTTGTGTACATAATCACATACAACTGAGTTATATGCTAGTTATCGGATATTATCGCAGACAGGATCTACATATTAATCACATGAGGAGCTAAAACTCCCATATATACCAGAAGTGAGGCGTGGTGAAAAGGGGATTTCATCTCCCGTTCGAGATTATTGCATTTACAAAGAGCGCGCGTGCGTTCGTGCGTGCGTGCGTGCGTGCGTGCTTGTACTAGACCGGACTAATGCCGATTTTATAGTACTTGCCCACTGAGATACGATGCCTCAGTTGAACAATATACAATATACTAAGCAGACACAGTATACTGACTCCGAGCCGAACAGTCCTTGTTTTAGCACCTTAATGCCGAGCGCCAGACAGGGTCTCAACAACCACCATCTGTTCATGTCTTTTGGTATGACCCATCCGGGGATCGAACACCCGACCTTCCGCCTTCCGGGCAGCCGCTCCACCACTAAACCACGGAGGCAGTGACCAGCAAGTGAACTGAGTCATATGATCGAGGAATTGTGTTTGTGACTTCCCTGCATGATCTGTGCAAACATTGTTTGCTTTTGGCTTGATTTTTAGATAGTCTCTCTAGGGTATGCATGTTATCAGGTATTTTAATGATAATCATTGTGTGAGCTTTTTTTCACACAGAATAAAGGTTACAATCTTTCTTTTATTATGTTATCTCCCGTTGCCACAAATAACACATATATCGGTGTATATGGATATTGTAGGGGAGGCATCAAAAATAGCTCTGAACACGAGTCATTGAATGGAGGTTTGCTAGCCAGGGTTACTACCTTACGGGGTGGTCCTGTCCTGTGCACTTGTGGAGATGTTTTCATACAAGATTGACATTCTGAATCTGAACATCGACACACGTAAGCTGTACAGTCAGTATACTAGTTGACCTAATCATATTTTACGATTAAAAACCATTAAAATGCCCCGTGCGTTGACGTTCTGTTTGCATTTGAACTGTCAGTGTTATTGCTGGTGGACTGAAAAAATCTTTATCATACCCTCACTTTTTCTGCGTCAGTCAGTGTGTTGCAAAGTGAAGTTTAGAAGTTTCGTTATTACGAATGCAATGGTGGGTGCTGCCGGTAACAGGGCGTGCTTATCCTTCTACTGAACACCGTTTCTCATTTCTAGTGGTCCATCAATGTAATTTTCGCAGCTATGATGTATGATACGTTTATCAATAATCCATGTAAATATTATGTACAAAATTTAATTTCAGTGACTAAACCTTCATTATGAGTTATCATGAGTTTGTTTCAGTGATCCATTAATATATTGATCACATATGTTTTGCCTGTTGCTCCTAAAGGAATCTGTTTCGGCGGATAATCGAGACTGGTTATTCTCTGCAGTTGATGTTTCATTTTATGCATAGACGTATAATGCATAGACATTACACTGATTGTCAGAAGGGATTATTGCTGGCAGCAAACCCGAGTACTCTATCAATGTCTTTCAACAGATTTACCAAATCTAACGCACCGAGAACAATGTGGAGTCGGACAATCTGGTACTTGTGATGCAACGGTGACATATCAAAAGCGACGTCTGCATATTTTCACTTTTCATGCCAGTCGACTTCATCCAAGCGAAGGACTCTGCAGGGTTGCTGATCCTCTCAACACACTGCATATAAACGAGATGTACTGGTAGTTCCGATAGCCCTTCCATTAAAAAGTGAGTTTAAGCCGATTTGATGTGGCACTTAGCTTGGTTGACACGCATTTCTGTACCGTCCAGCAGTACTAACCATCAACAAAATCAACACTGACATTGAGATTATGCCCCACATCGTTGGCTCGTTTGAGAAAAGTGTGGAATGCCTCGTTTTCATCATGAGTCTTGACATGCTTCACAAGAGGATCATCAGACAAATAAATGTGTGCAAATGTGCAAAATACAATTCTATCATAAAGATCCTCCACGTAAATCAAACCACGCCCCCCATTATGATTGGTAAATATAAGCAATTGAAGGAAGAGCGGGGGTGGTGGGAGCTATTATTCGTGTGAGGGTGTCAATTCCCTTGTTTCGTACAGTCAAAAACACAAAAAGAATACCAAAGCACGGGTGCAACATAAGTATTTGTGGCTTTGACTTTATTGCAAGCGTTCAGCTCTAGATCTGAACTCCAGATTTTCTTAAGTCTACATTTCTATTCCAAGTATTTTAGGCTTTGAAGTAGTAGCAGTAGCAGTAGTAGTTGTTGTTTTGATGGGGGCGAGAGGCTCTAGGGGGAGGCTATGGACTCATATTAGTGTAGATGAAAAGTCAAAGATGAAAACATTATCAAAGAAGTCAAATGCACATATTGGAATGGATCTCCCAACATATAGTGGAGCTATTTTGGCAAGGGGTAGTTAATGTGTTGATGTGAGTTCATAAACAACCAACACTCAGATGTCAATCTGTATACGACCGTTATGTTCGTGGTCACGTGTATTGTGTAGCCCTTAGGTTCTCTTCCTTTTACGTACAGGGCTCTTTACATTGTAAGTTTTAAAGTAAGTAATGCATATTTCAATGAACACGGTAGTTTAGTTCAGCTGAAATATGTAATACACAACTGGTCATTTTTTCTAATGGGTAATGATTTAATTATTCCCATTTGATTAATCTTGTGTATGCTTTTTGTTAATTCATACAGACACGTATAATTTCAAATACAATTCTGATGTATAATATCAATAATAATTATGCCCTATAATTAAAACCATAGTACGTTTATATCCAAAATATATTTGAATCTGCATCTTGAGCAAAAAGGGATGATCTGGAGTCAGACAAACATGGAATGATTGATCATTTATCATTCAGTAAACACAATCATCATATCCGTTATATCGTTGCATCGCTGTTATACTGACAACACAACAAACAAACGTATTACAGACTATATTTCCGCTATGTCAATTTTAAGCAGAAGGGTCAGATTCAACAAGGGTGGTTCAATGTTATCATGTATTGTTTACAAACAGCATTGTTTACAAACTAACCATCTGCATCTAATAGACAAATGACAAAGGCTAAAGGGGGACATTTTGCAATACATGATTTTCCAAATTATATATATATATATATATTTACAATACTCACCTCTCACATCAACAACCCGCAATCGTTCTCATATGACGTCCCTGCTTGCACAGGTGCACATGTGTCGGCAACCAGGACGTGAGTGGCGTCAAGCAGGAACGTGTCACATGATCAGTACAATAGTACACAAATTGTGAGGGTAAAGATAAACAAGATACGAAAGCATTGATCTAAAAACCGCACATTCCACTTCCCCATACACTTTTATGTTGGCATGAAAGTTTTTAAGTAAGCACATAGGCATTTAGAAGTTGAAAGAACATGACTACATGACACTTTTTTATGGATAGCAATTTTTCCTGGTAAGTGTATAGAGTAATATATAAATATAAATCAGGTTGGTTACTAGGTGGGGTGGATGACGTGACCAAAATGGCGGCAGCAGGTCGGTTTGCAAACACACGGAGAATAATTCTTTCATCAAACGCACTATAAATGGATACTAAAGATCTAAAATGCTTATCTGAATTCCTTAACATTGTGAACAATACAATTGGTAAATTGTATTAGTATCCCATTTTTATTGTTCTTGTTAAATGCTGTCATTTTGTACATAAAAAAAATGTATATAATTGTATCTTATGTACCACCGTGGGTGTTTTTTCTGAGAATATATGAGTTTGAGCTTAACAAAACCAATGACTAAGGATTAATGTACAAAGATAACAATACAATGACGAAGCCGATGGATTAGGATTAATGTACAATGATAACAATATAATGACGAAGCCAATGGGATGGGATTAAGACAACATTATAATGACGAAGCAAATGAAATTAACAGGAGACGATTAATTAAGTACACTGAGGGTGTAGTGGTGACAAGGGTCTGGTAATTGTGACACAAGCAATAAGGTAATCACGGTGCCCATTTTGGAAGATAATGTGATTATAGCACAGTGAAATACACGGTTGGTGGGTAGATGCCCTTGTCTCTGTTAATGGCTGGCTTCTTTCTTTTGATTCAATGTTTTCTTGAAGTTTCCTCTTTTACAAATTGTTGATGTTTGTATGGTTTATGGACAGGAAATATGGTGGTCAGGGTTGGGATTTTTTAAAGATGTTCCGAAAGGGCAGATTTCATGTCAGTCTTTTTAACAGACGTCTCTCCGTGAAGTCTCTCCGATGTATTTGTGTCCACAGTTGCATGACATCCCAATCACACATCCTCTGGGGTTTGGGGTAGACGGGGTCAGACCTTTATCGTTGGCCTGTTTTTAGGTGATAGATCCTTGTCAACACTACACCTTCTTATCTCCTGTTAATCTCATCGGTTTCATCTAGTGAAGGGGATTCAAGGCGTTTGGTGCACCTAAGACATCGGGTTTAATGTAGTAAATCAAGCAGTTTTATTAATATATCGTAATAACACTAATCATACTTTTTTTTAAATCAAGTCTAATATGTGGTTGTAAATAAGTGTTAAATATTTAAGTAAATTGTTACATGACATTTGAGAAGCTCTTCCTCCAGTCGTTTCATATCAAATACATGAACATATACTAAAGTGGAAAAACTTACCTGAGATGTTTCGTACTTTTATGCGATGACATCTGATATCTAAAACATAATCTATTAATGTGGTGACCGTCTTGAAATTAAAATTGGCGGATCACCTCATGAAAATCAAAATGTAATTCTTCAATTCGACTGAAAAATTTACAGCCCTTTTGGTGTAACAGTGCGTTATATATGATAACTCATTAACTAAATGTGTTCTTAATACAAACACGCAGAGTTGACGGAATGGTAATAATTAGATCATATGGTAGATTCGTGAAGTGTTTAATCTCTGTTTGCTCTGTATTGTGTGACGACGTTCCTTTATTTCTAATGACTGTAAAGGGTTTGACATTTTTGTAATTAGTCCACGGCCAAAAATGTTACTAACGTCTGAGCTATGGCGTCATAGCTATGTCACGTATTCGCCTTGCAGTCAATCACATAGCCACTACCGTTAGGAGATCCGTATTTTGACAGTTAAATTCCTGTATTGTTTGTGTTTTATAAGCTGCACTAGTGAAGGTGTCCTCAGATCTTCACGCAGAGTGGTCGTATCAGTTCGCATACCAGCTGCTTGGGTCTAGTTTGTCATGAAACACCACTTGCCTCTTTTCAGAAACCTAATGTGTCAACCTGCCACGTGACTTATGACAGAAACAGTAAGGATAATGTGGCCACCGAGTTCCAGATAATACATCAGATACCATCACTTTATTATGGATAATTTGGAAATTAATTGGGATTTTCTGATGAATACGAATATCTTAATTCAAAACCTATTCTTTTTGGTATTTTCATCTGTACGAATAATTATATTATTGCACTGGTGTATGGGTATCTACACCAAATAGAAATACAATACCCTAAATCGTTCACTAGACAACTTGTGCTTGTTTTCCTTGTGAATTACACCTGATGAAAATAGTATTGATGTTATAAACGTTCTTTGTCTAATAATTACTGAAAAATGTCAAACGACTGTAATACTGACGAGAAAAACAACTACACCATACTGACACGACCATAAAAAAAATGTAGTGTTTGTAATTATGAAATAGGCAAGTAAACAACAACGATGCAGATCTAAATGCACCGGCAGTGGAAACAAACGAGGACATCAAGGATATGGGAATAAATTGTTTGCAGTTTGCAGTAAACAAATATGATTAAAATGAAAGTCACTCTGTATGGGTTGATTTGAAATGATCACAGCCACGCGTGTTTCTCCACAACACGCCCCAACACTTTTGCGCTAGTTCGCTCGACGTCGGATTACATTTTTCTGAAGTCGACGCAATTCATCCATGCGAGACTGTATTACGTCAGGTCGGGTCGTGTTCTTATCTGCTAATCAGGGCGTTTTCAAGTGTGTTCACTTGGCAACATGTCAAGAGATCGAGTAGACTAAAGCAAAACGTCGACGTTTTTTAGCAGCAGAAAGTGACGGACGATATCTGCTGTTGTCATGTTGAAACAAGATTCGTGGATTCTGTTGTAGGACGGTACGCACAACTGGGGGCAATACCTGGTCTATATAAAAGTTAGCGTTTTCCAATGTTGTCCAACTTCTATTTTTAACTTGTGACTCGATATTCTTATCATAGTTAAATATTTCCGTCGACCCTGTGGTAAAATATTGAGATATAATTCATAACCAAAATATATTTTTAGATTTCTATACAGCATCAACTTTCTATATAATTATTGAGATCTGAGTTCCTTTCATTATCCATAAGTTTTTGTTGGAAACAAAGAGACAAATATCATAGGATTTACAGACAAAGGATTGAACCACACATGTGTAAAACCATTTGTACACAACATATCTTTTACATACCATGCCCAATCTTTCACACCTTTATCACAATGCTGCAAAGAAATATATTATGCAACCTGTAATATACAATTACAAGTATTATTTAATTTAAACCAGTATTTCAAAATTCTAAAAAAACTATTGATGTAAATATGATACCGACCTAATTATCCATATACTGCAATATTACATGCCTTTGAATGTGCATTTAATACTTTCTTACATAATTTAAGATGCACCCGTTCAATTCTAGGTGCGTTTACCGTACCCCATACCACACAACCATAGGACATTGTAGATGTAATGAAAGAATCAAATAATTGTAATAGTGTTTTGGGTGTAAAATTACAATTTCTAACATTTGATAACAATACATTCATAGCTTTTAAACCTTTCCAAGCTGATGTTTTGTAACACAAAGAAAATGATCCAGTACTTGTAAAGACGTTTCCTAAGTAGCAAAACTGTTTGACCACTTCAAGCTGTTCATCATTTAAAGAACATTTTTTAATTTTATGTAAATTCCCTCTATTACTAAATATAATTACCTTCGTTTTATCGACATTTATGTGTAAACCCCATTCTTTACAGTAACTTTGCAAGCTATTTATTAAAATGTGGAGCCCATTTGATGTTTCAGATAAGATGCCATAAATAACTATTATCGGTATCCGTTTATTTGTGCTATTCCATTTATGTTAAAAACATAATATCATTATTTTGAGAATAGACAAAGAAAATGTATTGAATCTGAAAAATCACATTCAAACCCTGGCACTTGAGTGATAAACAAGTATCACGCAAACATCTACTTTGACTTAGTGCAAACAATCCATGTTTATATTTGCATGTCAGAATAGCATATAACGTGAATAAGTGCGCAGATAGGTACGTTCGCAGATAGTTTTAATACACAAACCTTAAATTCGGTTTCAAATGAGTTCTTTTTCTTCTTCTCACTTATACACTGTTTCAGGTTGTCCAGCCGCATGTGAGGTGGTACCCAGTTGTAGTAGGTGGCGGCAGCCTCGTTGTCTCCGTCTACTTCAACCTCAACAGAAAACATGGCGTCCTCATGTTCTTCCATTGTAGGTGGCTTTGGAGTGGATTTACTCGTGGATTGTTTATATGAAAGGAATACAAGTATTTAATATCAATGTCTTTGTTCCTAAAGAAGACTGGAAACGAACAGCATGATCAACAACCTTAGTTTGGTTGGCACAACGTTGCATGTTGGATAATATTACAAAATGCAAAATTAACAGTGGCTAGTTCTACCTTTACTTGCTGCCTTAGGAAGCGCTTCCAGTGGAACCGGCAATCTTGAGTGTGTGTGTGGAGGGGGCTGCTTGTACTAGTCCAGACTAATGACAATTTATAGTGCTAGCCCACTGAGATATCACGCAGCAGTTTAACATGAATACCCCATTAAGACACAGCTCCCTGACTCCGAGCTAACCAGTCCTTGTTTTAACCCCTTAGTGCCGAGCGCCAGACAGTTTAACAACAGTACCCTTTTAACGTCTTTTGGCATGACGCGACCGGGGATCGAAACCCGTACCTTTCGTTTTCCGGGCGGACGCCCTACCACTAGACCACGGAGGTGGTCTCAATTGTATTAACCCTAATCCAGCAGTAAGGACATATGGCCAAACATAAGGTTCATGTGGTATTTCAACATACATTACAATGTATGAGAACTGTATACACAATAAACGATTACTAGATAAATAATGCTATTCTAATAGATATGTTGAATCAATAAATGATGAAGAGCAGTTACCGTTTCCTGCAAATGGCAATGGTCACAATAACAGCAATGACTACAACAGCTGCAACTGTCCCTCCAACAATTCCTGCTACAGAACCTCCATCAGCAAGAGCTTTCAAGAATAAAGAGTTATCATGAACAATGTTATTGTAACACATTGCAAGTTCATTACAAATAACAAAATAATACTTGGTGCAGCTCGTGAGGTGTTAATCAATAAACGTAAAGACATGAGACTGAATGATATAATCAATTAATTTTATATGCAACGTTATTTCTTATTGTCTAAAAAATATAATCATACCGCTAATGACTTGTGATGTTACAAACTATGCCTACATTAAGACGATATGCTGGCACATCAAATTAGCATATCAAATTGTACAAAGACAAACATTATTTGGTAGTTAATCATGACGATTATATTTCTATATTGCTTTGTGGATGTCATGACAGTTAATAACTTCCTGCCCATCTTCCTCATCACAATTTCTTTTTCAAAAGCACCAAGTAAGAACGATGAAGGCCCGGAAATAAACTGTGACATAGGGAATCATACATATACATGTACGCGCATGACAGATGTTTTCTGTCGCTGACATCCGTTTGAATGTGTGGGTCAAAACGTATCCGACGTATTGATATTTTGATCAATGTATTTCAGTCCAAGTGTCAATGTACGTTTAGATAATACGTCGAAGCAAGACAAATGAGAAAACTTTATTTCTTCACGGTTGTTAATAAAAAGAGAAAAAAGATTTAAAAATTAGTCGCCATTAAAGCCAAGCATGAGAACCCCAACCCCCACCACACACACGTACACACATACACCTGCGCGCGAACACTCACACATGTATCACTAAATGGCATGTATAAATGAAAAAATGAATATATACAGTTAAAAAGGGAAAAGAAATGGCAGTTTCACGACTCCTTGTACAATACAAAGAAGGCCTAAATACAACGACACCTTGACAAAATAGGAAGGTGATATACACTCTAATACAAGTGCGTTTACATGCGTCTGAGCAGGTATAATGCATGTTCTGACAGTATTAACGTTTCTAAACTTTTCTACACAATCATTCTCCGTCGATTACACGTGCAGATTTGTACAACATGGTGAGTAATATCACTTACATAATAAGCAAATTCACGTTTTCTTTATGCATATTCACTTTGGCTGTTTTGCCCAATGGACAATCGAGTAGTTATTCTCTGGCGTTGACGTTATATGCCACATATCGCAGTTTCCCACAGTGCAGTTTTGTAATCTGATGATAAACTATTCGTTTCGAAATAAGTTCCAAATGAAAACAAAACTGGAAGAAAATAATGGCGTATAAACTTGTGTAGACAAATAAAGTCATTCATCTCAACTGTCATATGGTCTAGTCCTTACGTACGTTGAAAACATAACATTTTGTCGTCACTCTCCCATTCTGCTGCACAGCCTCCAGGACACGTTCCGTTTGTCTTGTCACAGCTGACACCCTCCAGGCAGTTTCCACACTCCGACACACAGTTGCTACCGTGGTAGCCATTTGGACACGCTGCAAATGTAATGTGGCAGTATACATTCAACGCGTATTCCTGTAGCATATATAATGAAACGCTAAAAAGATGTCAAGTGTTCTGGTGGCCTTTGGTGATACTCCCAGGGCAGCTCATAAGACTTACCTCCCTTGGTGTTTACACTCTGAACTATATCCCAGCGTTTGACAGCTACGTTACTCTCTCGGAAAAGAGCTCCGCGGTGAAGAGCTCATTCGCTTCCGAGACTTGACTACACTGTTCGATAGAATTCTAGAAGGCTATCTGTACCTACTATATAAGAGCGATACGAGGGCGACATGATTCACCTTGTAGACATGTGAACGTACGCGCGCGTGCATGTGCGTGCATGCGTGAGTGTGTGTGTGTGTGTGTGTGTGTGTGTGTGTGTGTGTGTGTGTGTGTGTGTGTGTGTGTGTGTGTGTGTGTGTGTGTGTGTGTGTGTGTGTGTGTGTGTGTGTGTGTCGATCTGCCATCCTGCTGCACATCCTCCAGGATTTATCCCGTTTGTCTTGTTAAAGCTGATAGGCAATAACCACACCCAGAGGTACAGTTGCTACAATGCGAATATTTGTAACATGATGCAAACACGAAGCCATTTAAGTTATGTCCTCTTAGTCTGGAGTGACAACACGATATAAAATACTTCACAAGAACACAATTATGCATCAAAATATACGAACATTCGTTCGACATCATGATTCCGACTCATTCCGACATGTTGTGTCATTCATCCATCCAGCTGCACATCCTGAAGGACAAGTTCCGTTTTTCTTGTCACAGTAGACACCATCTACACAGTTTCCACACTTAGTGAGGCAAATGACATCATAGGAACCATCTGGACAGGCTGCAAATACCTAACTTAATGAACACATGTTGTAATCGCATTTGACAAGGTTATCTCTCACCTACAAACTCATACAGACCCACCTTGTAGACATGTGCCGTTCATCCATCCTGCTGCGCATCCTCTAGGACAGGTTCCCGTGGTCCTATTACAGACGTCACCATCGAGACAGTTCCCACACTGTGATGAGCAGTTGATACCATAGGTGCCATTTGGACATGCTGTACAAACAAATACATAAATTGGTAAACAGTGGTGTCAGATATCTAGCACTGTCTAATTGACTTGCTGCAATTACCAAACCATTTAACTTTAACCTTGTAAACTCTATGTATCTGTGTGTGCGTGTGTCTGTGTCTGTGTCTGTGTGTCCGTGTGTCCGTGTGTCTGTGTGTATCATCGATCAGCCATCCTGCTGCATATCACCCATGCCCTATTCTGTTTGTCTTCTTACAGCTGATGCCGTTTTGGAAAAATCCAAACTGAGAGGTATAATTGCTACGGTTGGAATAGTTTTAAAATGTTGCAAACGTGATGCCATTTAACTTACACCCTGTCAATCTGGAGTGAACACACGATATAAAATACTTCACAAGAACACATGCATAAACAGATATCAACATTCATTCGACATCATGATTCCGACTCACCTTGTAGACATGAGGTGTCATTGATCCATCCTGCTGCACATCCTCTAGGACACGCTCCGTTTGTCTTGTCACAGATGTCATCATCTAGACAGTTTCCACACTGTGATGAGCAGTTGCTACCATAGGAACCATCTGGACAGGCTGCAAACACATACGTATAATGAACACATGGCGTAATCGTATCTGACAAGGATATCTTTTACTGGAAAATCATACAGACCCACCTTGGTGATACTCCCAGAGTTACCATAGGAACAATCTGGACATGCTGCACAAACAAATACATAAGTTGGTAAATACCTACGTCAGATTTCCAGAACTGGAAATTGAACTGTATGTTGAGACATTCGTGTTGGCTTTATTTGGTAGATAAAGTATACCTCCTCACAAAAATCATGTTGAGTTTCTCTTGTCACATTCAAATTTTCACATCTGTTATCTCATCTCATTCTTATTTAGTTCCCCACAACCAGATAAAGCGAAATTTATATTTAGTTAATTGTATATATTCCACAGCGCAACACAAAATGTCTGTGCCCATCAAGATAAATCGTGTAAATAAAAGTACATTTAATAATGTTTGGTCCTGGTAATGTGGCCAGTATTGAGGTGAGGTGAAATGGGGTTCAATGCTGCTTATGAGATTTTTATACTTTTAGCGGCTTGTGTTGTCCTTTTATCCTTCCATTGACTGTGTAAAATGGCATTTTTCCCTGATGGTTATTTCAACCAACCGAACTAACACAATACCCGTAATGCCGGCGGCCATTGACGACAGCGTTAGTTAAATTGGCACCTCTCCCATTAAGGACGTCTGACGTGAATGTAGATTCGCCTGAGAACCATTAAAATTTGGCTGTCATAACCAAACATTGGATGGCACGGCTTTACAATGACAGTACTAACATTCACAATAAATGCAAATGTAATTCATATAGATTGCGTTTAAAGTTGAACCCACTTGTTCAATGTAAAAAGTTATTTTTAGCCTTACGCTGCATGGCATCAGCAGTACTTATTTTGAAGAAACGGAATACATGTATCTTTAATTGTATTTCCTTTCCTGCTGCGCATTTGCTGATGTCAGCGCTTAAGGGGAAGCACCTTGTTTTGGGGTCCTTTATCAGTTAGTTTATGGACGCGCATTCTGTGCACTGAGCACTCCGTTTGTCCAACGTTCTCTTCATGACACCCTTGGCATATTTTCACATATTAGTAGGGAATAGTCACGGTTAGAGCGTACATGAAATAGTTGCTTCCTGTTTTTTTAATTTTATCATGAATTTTCAACTATATATTCACATGTTCCCTACTTCAGACACTGAATTTTGTAGGCTTAGTGCATGGGTCAAATGTGGCACATGTAAATATCTTTTTATTACGGGTTTGGCGTTTACTTTGTATAATTCCTACATAAGCCATAATTCAATTAGAAATTTGAACATTGAGTCTAACGCTCTTAAACAGGTCCGGATTCTTGGGGGTTTGGTTAGATACACAGGTAAGTCTTATTTATTTGTTAATCACACAATATAATGTCCCCCTCAAAATTATATGTATTCTTATTCTATATGAACTTAACACCTTCTGTGGCGACTTCCTTGAAGAATCTTGTCGGAAGTAATTCTGGATATACGTTTAATCAGAATGATAAAGCTTCAATCTCAAGATCATGTGGAATATAAGAATATGGTTTGATTTTGTCTTGAATTTGTTGAGGTAAATAGTTTAGGAAATCCATCGTGTATCTAATATAACTGAACATTTGTAATAAAATTATTTACATATAGCTGGAATATTGCTGAATGCGTCGTTAAACAACAAACAAATATAACATGTTACACAACTTACTTGCTAATGTGCATCAAATAATCTGCGAGACTTGTGGAATACAAACAAATCAGTTGTAAAGTATATAGTTATGCTGCTAAATATTGGCAAATGCCGAATTGCATCAAACTATTATATTAATTGAAGTTACCGTCACTATTTAGTTGTGTATTGTATCATTATGGCCCTGAGACACATTCTGTCTGCCCCTGAAGTCCATTCTCTGATATGACATACTGAAACAAGAATGGAACATGTGGACCGGGCATATTATGCGACAGGTTTATATATACTTTAAGTTTCATGACATACCTTTTGGGCAGTCGGTACCATTGTATCCTGGGAAACATCCACTGGAACAGTGACCAGTGATTTTGTCACATACATCAGTACTGCTAAGGCACCGGCACTGTTTGTCACAATCTTCAGAAAACCACCCATCACTGCAAACTGAACATCGTTAAACAATAGTCTTTATTTGAATGATTCATCTATTGTAGAAAAAAGCTGTAAACTTTGAAAATGTGTGCAAAACTTTCACCAGTATTTGGAGATGTTTCTGTCATTTATGGGAATCGATTTTTCTCCATTATTTATTTTTAAATTCCTGCAACCCTATCAGGCGATAAAATTCCTAAATATCAGAACCAAGGTATCTCATAACGTACCAAATATTTGCACTTCACACAAAGTAAGATATTTTAGAGAACCAGGTATCCGTACAGTGACCGTAGTTCCTGTCAGTGGCTGGCGGCAGGTGACGTTAGCTATAGGAGGAGGATGTTCAGTGGACGACCAGTTGTAGCACATCTGGCTGCCAACAAGTATCTCCATGCCGTTGCTTCTGTTTTGAACTGTACAGAATGAAGGAAAAATACAACTCCGTCACTTGTCATTATTAAACATTTATTCTTTTTTTATAACTTTTTTGCCTGTAAGGACAGCTGACCAGATTAAGTGGCAGAAAGAATATTGCTGTCATTTGATTGTGACATCATGGTAACCGATGACGTTCCAATACTTAATAAAGTAGTGTGATGCAATTGTATTGCAGCTATATCTCCTTGGAGATATCGTTTGAGCTGTATCCTAGTGATTGAACTGTATCCTTGGAGATATCGCGTGGTCTCAGACAAGTGATATCTCTTGTGGGAGCCAGTTTTGGATGATGAATGTTATGTGATGACAATTAGTAATTGATCATTGTGTCATCTTCGCAATTACAGTGATTCTACTCCTGTGTGAACGTTCACTGATGAAGTAAACATACGGGGTATTTTCAGTTAATTCATGAACAAATGTAGCTTTTGTCACAAACATTTCAGATGTTTCAGAAAATCGAACAAATGGTAATATTTTCACTGTAATGAATGTAAAATATATCTTGAAAAAAGGCTAAAAAGCAATAGGTTTTAACCTTTTTACTACAAATTGTTGCAAATTTCACAATATGCCTTGCAATAGACATATAATACTAAATACCTGATATTTAAGACCACACCAGGTAATTATCTAGATTTGATAGTTTATAAATGCGATTTAGAATATAAAAGCGTAGTATGTTTAAGATGCTTTAGATCCTGGGCATGTTGTATGTTATATTTCTAAAGAAGAGCGAAATTTGCGAAAGAGTCAGATAACATTATAACTACTTTAACATTATGGAGGGTCGGGGTTGGGATGAATTATGAAATGTCATACAAAATGAATACCCATTATTTGCCATGTCAAAGTAAGACGTTAAAATTTATTTAATAGCCATTCTGGTGCTGGATACACGATAGATTGTTACACAGATGAATACACGACATCATATGAGGACCACACTACTGTCTCGCTAATACTATATCATATTTGATAAAATATTTAGGTCATTTGGGTTATTTGTATGTAGCCTTAATTCTTCATTTTTCATATCTAGTTTTAGGTGTTTCATATGACTGCCGAAATACTCACACATATATCATTTGCTATATTTTTTTACTTTTTGTAAAGTTTTTGATACACAAGGAATATCACGGCAAAACCTAAAGCTGAAATAGCTTTTGTCTGCCAAAAGCAGACCGTGAGGTGTCTGTTATATGTTTACAGCTGTGCCCACCAAATTACCAAAAATAAACACTGTGTTTTGTTTTCGATGTATACAAAAACGATTCCAGAGAAATGCCCTAGGTGGACTTAAAAAGCAAAGAGAGTATTTCGGCAACTTCGTCCACTGGACCATTCGTGTCTCACAGCCTTAGATTATCACAGCCTTAGATTAGATTATCGTGTCGATACAAGTACTGTTAGTAGGAAGAAGTTATGCATATACCTTAGCTTCTAACTATCTCAGCAATTAAGACAGATTAACTAGATGAGAATGATAGTTTAGTCTCGAATGAAAAATTACAAAACTCTTAAAAGAGTCTCTAATATTACACCTTTCTATGGTCATCGATACATATGAACAGTTTATACAATCTATATGAGCTTTCTGTCTGTCTGATTTTAATACCATATGTATATGCAAGTACATAAATGCATACATGTAGATTTGTACAAGACAAGAGACACGATGCAAGTTGGTCATAAATTAAACATTCATGACAATAAGAATATTTAATGACAGCATTTTTGTAGCAGGAATACATTACATGTATTCATCAAACATTACAGGTACCTGCAATCCATTCACAGTGTAGCGTCAGAGTACAAATACATTGTTTGTAAAGAGAAGATTGTCATGGCCTGCCACGCGCTGACGGCGTGATAGTCCAATAAAACTCCTAATTAGTGTTATAAGGCAATAAAAGAGTTTTCGCAGAAATCCGCGAATTATTTGCAAATAATTCGGGTTTTTTTGCGAATTATTTGCAACTTATCCGCGGATTATTCGCAGTTTTACTGCAGAACACGATAACAAACTTTTGTAGTGCACTATGTTGCTGTGCTACATACTTACAATGATGGTGTTATTAACTGATGAGCATGTCCTGCATATAGCAGGTGGAAGTAAGATAGCAGAATGGTCTAGAAATGACCTGAAATTACTTTACTATTCATTTCACTTCTCAAGTCTACATACATATCTTTCAGGACAGGACTTTTTGCAACTGGTGACTTATTCATATTCACATTAAAATGTATAATAAATTATTGTTGTCTGTCTGTATTAAAAGATGTATTGCTCTTGCAATTGCTATTTATTCTCAGTTTCAATACAATTGTATAATGAAAATATATTACTCCTGTTTCGTTATCGATTTGATTGTAATTACACCAGAAACACCCGTTATTACATTTTGCTCAAGTTTCAACCAGTGTTATATGCTATCATTGCGTCCTTGTTCACTGATATCTTGTTCGATCAATTGCAATTTTTGTAGGCCTCGGACTCCCTCATACATGTTTAGGCGGTCAATGAAAGAGTGAAAATTCTCCTTCCCTGAATGTTCCAGTGACATTTATGATCTTGATGACAACACATTCTCAATTCAGCAAGACAGATCCCTACTTGCAGTGACAGATATTATCACCCTCACTCCTTTATATGTGTGTGTACTCACGGATCTCACGTATATACAGTCTGATGTGTTGTATCTTTTCTGGAACTGGAGTGTTCAAGTTCACAGTCCAGGTGGGATCTGTCTCATTACGTGTATGGGCACATGTTTGTGGCGTGCTGCTGGCATTTATGGTGGCTCTACCATCTACAGCAAGTCCTGCTCCGTATCTATATGGTCGACCGAAATATGTACTGCTCTGGATGCATGTTCTCCTCAACGCAATATTTTCTGAAAATATAAATACGTAATCAGTATCACAATGATCGGTGATTGGTATTCGTGATATTACATCTACCCATCATCCTCATACTCACGTTTCTGGCAGTACGAACCGAACCATCCTTCCTGGCACCTGTCTGGACTGCCGACCTGGCTACAGGGAGTGGAGGGGAACACGTCACAGGCGCTTGCAGTGTTACAGTGACATTCAGCATCTGTTTGAAAAAAAGGTACATTCACTTGACTGACAGTAATTACTTAAATTATATTGAAAACATTGATATGGCTTGAAGATAGCTTGCTATCTGTGAATAAAATCAACAAATAAATCAGATATTGACCCATATTTCACATTCTGTGAATAACGTCCTTACCAGTGAGGGTCACAGTGACAAAGACCACCAGCAGTCCCACACAGAACCAACCCATGGCGGATACCTAAATGAAAAGACAAAGGATAGGAAACTTTCACAATTCTGATCACATAAATAGCGAAGATATTACCAGAGCGTCTAAACATATACATCAACGCGTCGATTAAAAAATCAGAATTGAGGATCTTTGAATTTATTTATTTTTCTCGTCGAGTGATGATCCATGCTTTTATCAAAAGAAGTGAGGGCTAAAATATTTGCATTGTCCAAAATCATTTTAAACCATTTGATATATGACAATGTACGTAATACGAAAAGGGTTTACCGGGTACTTTCCGCTATTTTTGTAAGTTCTGTGGCGAGCTCCTTCCTTGGCAACGGCTCCTGAGTTGTTAATCCATCAACGCATCGCCAGTATAGCAGTCTCGCGAAATTAACAGGGGGTTCGGGGCTTTCCCAATGTAAGAGAATAACCAGTCCAAAATATATTTTACGTTTTACAGTAGTCGGTGCATGTATGACGAATCATGTTTCATGTATCGTCTTACTAAGCTGCCACTCACTGGTTAAGATGACAGACAGTGTCGCAATGGGTAAAGTATACGTTTATCAGCTCTGTTAAAATAGAAAACCAATATATCCTGATTTATGGATGCACATTTACACTGTATCTATCACAGTAGGAAAAATGATGCATAATGTAACAACTGTGCAATATCTTAGAAGGTCTTTGTTTAAATGGTGAGTCGAATATGGTATGGAAGATGTAATCCTGACACAGACGTTAACAAATTTACTTGTAGATAGTGCATGCACTTGGAGTAAGACCTGTGCAATATGCATTAATCCTCTATGCCATGACCCTATGTACTTCCTCTTAAGTATGGTACCCACACCTGTGAGATATGCCATACGGTAGTGAGTGCTTCCTTTATACACGGAATTTGAATTACGCGTTCCGACCAAAATGCGATTAAGTGAGTGTGTAAGATTTAATGCCGCGTGTAGTAATGTTCCAGCAATGTCACAGGGATGTATGACAGAAATAAACTTCAGACATTGTATCAACGTGGTAATCGAACCCGGGTCTTCGGTCACTGGGCTACCCAAGCACCCGCATCGAATTGAGAAGGAAGGATATAGTTACTGTAAATGTTATACTGACATTATGGTGGTTTACGTTCAGTAATGCGACCCCCAGAAACGAAGCACACGTAACCTAGCACAGGTAGTGCAGCACACCTTGAACATTGTGAGAAACATAACGTTATACTGCTGAGAGATTATAAGGATATTCACCGTGGCAAGAGCTGTCTGTGACAATAACGTCTCACGGGTTATTTTTACGACAATGTCCATCCGGGATGTTACTGAAGTTACCCCTTGTATGTATGGTCATATTTTCAGGCTTGCTGTGACCAGTGATTAACACTATTCCCTATTGACTGACCGCGGAGCAGACCCCGAATTATTGCTGTGTTAGCCCAGACATTATACGTTCTGTGTGGTTCAGATAACTCTGTCACTACTGATATTTAAGTCAGCTGATGTTCAGTAAGATGTGGTGTCATGTAAGCACGGCAGGGCCGAACAACAAATAACCACAGAAGTTTTTATCATGACCGTAGAATATCGAAACATCGAAGTGGCACAACTTTGAGGTAATGGTTAACATACAATTGTTATGCATGTGAAACTAAGATGCACCCGTAGAACATGGATACATGTGCTTTGCTAGAATATTACGTGTCGCTGAGATCGTGACAAATAATGCCAGTTTACAATTATATATATCAGTAAGAACCGTTTTGAACCATAACGAAGTATATAGCGCCAAGACTAACAGAGTTTGTATATTTTTGCATTGATATATATGAACAATGATCGATATATCAGAATTAGAACGTAAACAGTCAACTGCAAGGAGTTTTCATCAAATACTAATAACCAAAATTATCCTTGTACTATAACAATGATACCTCTGTATATGTTCGTTCCAATTTAATATATGTACATAACCATTGCTCGGCAAAATCTTTATAGAGCCGTCTGTCAAGTTGTGGCGGATATTTGAGAACGTGTCTGATGGGTAACAGGGTAACTGATGGTTAGTTAGACTACATCGACTATCTTGTTGCAGGTTTGCTGACAATGTCAGGGGGAGGGTCAATTCTTCGCACTCAGGTACTGCTAAGTGACGGCAGGTGGGACTGCGGTTGGATTGCATTCATTGACATCGCCTCGCTGAGGATGAATGTTTGGTCACCTGTGTAAAGGGTCTGGATGCCGATGTTTGATAACCTCTTTGGCCTCTTAGGCATTTTTATTGCACGTTTGTTTCAGGAATTCTAGAAAGTACATTGTTGTCGCAATGTTGCAATGCCGCATGTTGGTAAAACGTGCAACTTTTTTTATTGGTTTGGTAAGGTATGTACGTTCTAATCTTCCACACTTGTCACCGCATCCTTGTTTTGCACCAGATGCTCAGGACCAATCTGTATAACTCCCCATGTTAGTTGAGGAACTTCCATGAATATAACTTTTTTGCTGTTGCCTATTTGTGTGAATATGAATAAAGGAAAAACGCCCAGGGCCAAATTGTCTGTCCATATTTCATTGAGAAGAACGAACATTCTCTGTACCAAATCTGAGGATTTTATGTGTCATTATATTTTCCGGAACAAAGCATTTCCCTAAATATTACCCCTTGAATGTCCTTGCTGTAGCGACGACTGGTACGGATGTATCAAGTCAAACCACATAATATTGATAAACATTTCCTTCACCCCACTTGTCTTCGTGAGTATGTATTGCTACTGAAGTTGATGATTACCTTTCCATATATAGTAGTGTCTATGGTCGATATAAATGCACTGTTAAAGCAATGTGTAACTATCCCGAATGTGTATGGCTGCATGTGTCCTCAACGGGAGAACATATTGCTTTTTACTGGAATTTCTAAACGAGTATATGTCCATAAAGACATAACCTTTGACCTATGTGCCCATCGGTCTATATAGTCCATAGGTGTGTTTCTTAAGTGTTGTATCTCAAACTGTTCTGTTAGACGACATGTCTAAAGGAATTATGTTTCTTGCCCCAGATAACAGCTACTTTCCAATGATTCATGATTCCTTTACCTTTTCAAACAAGCATGAACAGTATTTTGAAACCTCTATGTTCTAGGACCATATAAATTCACTCGCTAAACCGACACGGGGATATAGAAATTCGTCGTAGCACAGAAGCGCAAATAGTATTTCGTTCAGACAGATTACAATGATCGTACCATCTACATGTATATTTCAAAAGATGGTAAAGTGCATATCAAGAAAAGGTAAACACTTACATTCAGTCATCCCATAAGTACTGGTTCAAACTGTATTTTCAAGCAAGATGTTTATGACGGTGTACACAGTAAGGAGGGACTTATGTTTATAGAAAGAATTACCCGTTATTTTGTGGAGAGATATTAGAACAAGGTGCAGTGGTTGAAATGTGATCATGTGTTTACAACAGCTGCCCTTGTATCTTGAGTAATTACATGGTTAAATGGGACAGTGAAGGAAAGCACAGTTGACGACGCCGTGTGCTCATCATCAAGTAATATCGAAATACTAGGCAAATAATAGGATATTAACGCATACCATTATATTATGTATCATACACACGAGGAGCTTTCACTCATATATACACGACAGGTTTGAACAAGGTGGGGTCGAGATGAAATGTGGTCGTGTATTGGTTACAATAGTTGTCCTTGAAGTCAGGACATGATTAAATAATACATTTAGGAAAGCACAGTTAACAACGATGTGTGCTCTCCATCTAGGTATATATAAATTCTCTCATATATACACACGGGTTTACAGCAATATGTACAGAACTCAATCAGTACTCACCTCTCTCGCCAACACCTCACAATTGTGGAATACAACGTCTGTACAGTAGCACACGAGTTGGCTACCAGGAAGTAAACTGAGAGAGACATATAAGAGTCACATGATCGAGGCATTCTATGGCACATACCTGCATGATCTGTGCAAACATTAGTTGCTTTCAGATTAATTGTCAAAAAAACATTTTCTGAGATCTACTGAGTAGAACTGTTATCGGGTATAGATGCAAAGCCATGTGCATTAATAAGTACGGTCCTTTTTGTATAACACTTTGCTACTGGTACCTGTACTAATTTCTAATTCACTTGTGACTCACGGTATTTGACGGCAACAGATGATACAGAAATAAAAATGTAATTTAAAAACATCGGCCCACTTGCGCAACTATGCATGGTATACATTTGGACGTGTGTATGTGTGAGACTTAAATTAGATCTCAAAATTGACTGGCAAGACACAAACTTACCAATGAATTGAAATATATGCATATATCAAATCCTAAAACCAGGAAACATCAAGTACTATACAACATAAAACCAATATTTCCAGTGTGATTGTAACCTATATATGTATTTCACTGACTTTACAGACACATTCATGAATTCAGATTGTCTAAATATACACACATACTAATAATACTATATTTTCCATTTTCCTGCAGCCTTGCAATTGGTATTTGTAACAAACTGCTAAAAAAAATATCTTGCCTTGTAAATGGTGAAATAAATGATGTTCTAATGTTCTCTTCAACGTCAGATGTAAAATAATGTAACATATATCTAAATTGTAGTTCAACTTATTTTTGCATAGAATAGACTTCCTACTGAAAAGGATAATTTGCAAAAAGAGCTTATCATGCAGGAACATGAGCTTCATGGGCATAACTATTAGTATACTAAACCTGTTAAATATCTGCTTGAAGTGGTTCACGACGTAGGATGCGACTGTTCGTGCTTTGAGACAATTACACATGTTTAATAAAAATGTATTTTCGCCTCACGTACAGTAAACATGATTAAAAATTAGCACTGGCTACAAAGAGTAGTTGGGTGCAGGCACTGCTAACACAAAATACGCATATTTGATGTGAAAATATGCACATGGCATGTTACCCGGGCGAAAGTGTAGAGGGACAAGCCACATGCTATCAAGAATAAGATAATGTGATACCTTCCTCCTTGTCAACATTACGCCGGGGTCAACATGAAGCGCTTGTATATCCACATTTTTACACTGATATCATATTACTTGAGTTCTTCTCGTTTGAGATCGCTCGAAGCAGAGTTAGTGCTCCCAGCATAGGCAGCAATTCAGTTGAAGTTGTCATACATATAATGATCTCATGTCGGTGTTGCGTCATGGAAATAAACAAAATAACTTGAAAATATCGACGCGTCGGTATTGACATCTAGATAATGAACACAGTCAGGTTACAGAGACGTCACGACTGTATAAGTATAAGCTTTTTTAATGTATGGCCTGCATTGTTCGTACTTTACGTTGTCAGGTTTCAGAGACCTGAATGTGAACGGGCGAACATACCGGGAGATA